CGTTTTATCAGGTAAATAGCCCTAAACTCTCCTCTCTCGCTCCTCGCCCTCAACAAACCCCACACGCCCAACGCCAGGCTCCCTGTCTCCCCCAAGCGGATCGGTTTCAAGCTCCTGGCCCTCACCAAGCTTGCCATTCAGGTGTCTCAAAGCGCTTCACAGGATACACTGTAAAGTGTCGTGACTGTGTTTTTTTTTGTGGGAGGAAACGCGGCAGGCAGTTTGCGCACAGCAGCGCCGCCCGCAAACGGCCACGAAGTGAGCAGGCGGTTTTATCTGTCAGCCAGGACATCGGTAGAGAGAGAGAGAGAGAGAGAAACTCCCTTCTCTCTCCCCACCGACGGCACAGAATGAGATTGTTAACAGGGCATGGACGGGAAATGAGGTTTAAACTTTCTCTCTCTCTCTCTCTCTCTCTCTCTCTCTCTCTCTCTCTCTACCTCTTTCCCTCATTCCCTCTCTCGCTCCCTCTCTTGCTCCCTCTCCCTCTTTCTCTCCCTCGCCAGGGCTGATGGGAATGGTGGCTCACATAATGTACACCACTGTTTTCCAAGTTACCGTCACTTTCGGACCCAAAGACTGGAAACCGCAGTCCTGGGATTACGGTTGGTCTTTCCTGTAAGTGATGAGAGAGAGACTGAGCTGACACACAGTGACTGAGCCAGGCTGACACACAGTGACTGAGCCAGGCTGGCACACAGTGACTGAGCCAAGCTGACACACAGTGACTGAGCCAGGCTGACACACAGTGACTGAGCCAGGCTGACACACAGTGACTGAGCCAGGCTGGCACACAGTGACTGAGCCAAGCTGACACACAGTGACTGAGCCAGGCTGACACACAGTGACTGAGCCAGGCTGACACACAGTGACTGAGCCAGGCTGACAGACAGTGACTGAGCCAGGCTGGCAAACAGTGACTGAGCCAGGCTGGCACACAGTGACTGAGCCAGGCTGGCAAACAGTGACTGAGCCAGGCTGACACACAGTGACTGAGCCAGGCTGACACACAGTGACTGAGCCAGGCTGACACACAGTGACTGAGCCAGGCTGGCACACAGTGACTGAGCCAGGCTGGCAAACAGTGACTGAGCCAGGCTGGCACACAGTGACTGAGCCAGGCTGGCACACAGTGCGGAGGGGGTGGGTGGGATGGCGAGGATTCCACAGTCTGTGTTTTATCCTTTGATCCTCTGTGAGACACAGAGATTACAAACTGATTACATCGCTCTGCAAGATTATTATTTGTGTGTCTCAACGTCAGTCCAGCTGGCTGTCACACTCTCTCAGTCTTTCTCTCAGTCTCTCTCTTCCTCTCACGTTCTCTTTCTATCTCATGTTCTCGCTCCTTCTATCTCTCACGCGCTCTCTCTGTTACGTTCCGCCAACCCCCCCTCTCTCTCTCACACGTTTTCTCAATCTCGCTCACATTTTCTCTCTCTCTGTAGTCTCGCTTGGCTCTCAGTTCTCTCTCACGTTCTCTCTCTCTCTCTCTCTCTCTCCGCAGTCTCGCCTGGTTTTCTTTCAGCTGTTGTATGGGGGCAGCAGTGCTGAGCCTGAACAGCTACACGAAGACCATCCTGACCTTCAGACACCGACAGCAGATCCTGGCGAGGAGCTTGGCTTCAGGCGAGGACTGCATTGAGTTGTGTGACGATGGCTTCCTGTGGGACCGCTCGCTCCTCACCGGCAGAGGGTCCCCGGCGCAAGCGAAGGGTAGCGATGGTCAGAGCGACCCCACCTCACTGCCCGGCTCCACCGACCCGGGCGACGGAGCAAGTCTCTCCGACTCGATGAGTGAAGCCCAGTGCTGAGGCGAAGAACCTCCTTCAAACCTTCTTCCTTGTGCGGCTCATCTGACCCAGAACTCCGCCGCCCGTAAACTCACCCCCACCAAAATTCCGTCCCCCCCCTCACCTCAGTCCTCATCTGGCTCCATTGGCTCCCGATAATAATCCTTGCATTTGACCCGGCACCTTATCACACCATTGAGACATCTCAAAGCGCTTCACAGGATGCGCTGTAAAGCGTACTGTGGGCAAAACACGGCAGCCAATTGCGCACAGCAGCGCCTCACAAACAGTCATAGATTGAGCGATCAAATAATTTTTTTTATTTAAAGAGATTATTACCTCACAAAGCCAATCGACTAACAACCGGGTTCCTACTGACTGCTGGATAAACAGATGCATGTGTGTGTGGAGTAAGGAAACTTGCCTAAGGTTTTGCCCGGTCTGGGAATCAAACCCGGGTCCTCTCGCTCGCGAGACGTGTGGCTGACCACTGCGCTACCGAACTTCACAACGCATTGATTTCAGATCCTCTCACTCGTCTACAAATCCCTTCATGCCTTGGCATCTCCCTACCTCTCTGACCTGCTTTCTCCCCACTCCACTACCCTTTGCCACCACCGCTCGGCTGGCTCCGGCCTCCTGCTTGTTCCTCGTGCCCTCTCGTACTATCGGCCGCCAGACTTTCAGCTACTACGCCCCGAAACTTTGGAACTCTCTCCGCCAATCTCTCCGCCTTGCCCCTTCCTTCCCCTCTTTCAGATCATGCCTGAAGAACTTCCTCTTCGACTGTGCTTATGGTCAACTCCCTGGCTCAACCACTTTAAGCGCTCCGAGACGCTGCCCAGCATGAAGGTGCTACATATATGCAAGTTGTTGTGTCTCTGTTCATCTGCCCCATCCTCACCAGACTCCGCACCCCATTTCTCCCACCCCCCTGGTTATCGTCAGGCTCCTCACTCCCATCATGTCTTTTTGGTGTGAAAGACATGATGTAAATGTAACACATGAGACACACTTGGAGACTTTTCCAATTTCTCTCTCAGTCTCTCTCTCTCTCTCTCTCTCTCTCAGTTTCTCTCTTTTATTGTGTAATCCTCTCTATGTGATTAATTCACTGCTAACCTGTGTGATTAAATGCTTTGAGATTTAACGATTACATTTATTTTAAATAATGAAAAGATTTTATTTCTCTGGTTAATCTCTGACCTGAAGGGACTTGGTGAAGAACAGATTGATCACGAGATCCAGCCAGCACTTATTTACACACAGGGTCACTCATTATTGCTCTGTGTTGCCAGGAAGGCTGATTGAGGCCAGATGCTGCAGTGATTGAAGAAACGGCTGGATGCTGTAATAGGGAGATGGTTGATGGGAGTTGGAAAGGTTGGGGTGAAATGAGCTTGAGGGTCTTGTTGATCCGCACTTCCATTGTGATCCTGTTAATATCTGGCTGTTTCCTGGTTTAATCCAGGATTGATGTTTCCTCTCGTACCCACAGGACCTGCTGCTGTTGTTGAATTCGCTGGAGGAAGAGGCGGCAAAGGAGTGAGGAACGAGGGCACCGGACACTCCTCCCCTCTCCTCTCCCCATCACCGAGTTATGTCTGTTTGTGTCCATGTTAGTGTTACCGTGAGCGGTTTTATTTTCGGAAACCGTAGACCTTTACAGTACAGAAGGAGGCCATGGCTACAAACAACACCCTCCGCTACGCACACACCCTCCCCTACACACACACACACCCTCCACACACACACTGCACTACACACCGTCCCCTACACACATAACTTACACACACACCTTCCCCTACACACACACACCCTCCACTGCACACACACAATCCACTACATCCCCTCCCCTACGCACACACCCTCCCCTACACATACCCTCTGCACACACACCCTCATCTACACACACCCTACACGCACAAATTGGTGAAAATGACAAACCCAACCCAAAACCTTATCTTTTCTTGGCATCAAAGATGTTCTTAACAATTGCATCGAAAAAGCACTTTGAGATTGGAGCGGTTGAGGTGACATTGACTGTCAGGTCAGATTGCTTGGTGTGTTTACAGCGCCCTGGGATGTCTTTCCAATGTGAAGGGCGCTATACAGGTGTCATTTGTTGTTGTTGGTGTGGCACAAGTTGACTGTCAGGATTGAGTGGTTTGTTGTAATTTTTTGTGGGACACAGGTCACTGCTGAGACAGACACAATGATTGGCGTGACAGTGACTGTCATTTATAATGTAGGTGAACTGTTTTCAATTCTGATAACATATAATCCTTGCATTTGATACAGTGCCTTATCATATCGTCGAGACGTCTCAAAGCGCTTCACAGAATACACTATAAAGTGTAGTGGCAGATGTGATGTGAATGTGGTTTTTATCATGATTGTCTCATCAAACAATAAATATATCAGTTAAAAGTTATAAAGTGTTTTCCCAAAGAACAACACATTGTATAGTTTGACTTCCTGAAAAAAAACTGTTTCAAAACTATATCAAACGCAAGGATTAATGTATTATTAAAACCGTAAATGCCAATTGTTTATTCAAACAGAACTCTCTTGCCAGAGTTGTGAAAGATGTGCAGAAATCCATCACATAATGTTTTTTAAAAAACAGTGAACGATTGAAGCAAAGGGTTACAGAAGAAACTGTGGTTTAGGAAAAAAAATAGAATATAAGTGTAACGGGAAGAGTTGGTTGTGATTTCCCAGTCACAGCCTGAGTGTCTCCTCTCTCTCTCTCCACGTTAATACTGATACACTCCCACTAGGCGATGCCATGTTCAGCTCTCCCCCATCTCCTCTGCAACACTGAGCACTGACTGCATGAAATGGCAGCTGTTAAACCCCAGGATACACAGAGCAACAGAAAGTCCTGTATCGACTGCACTGAGAATAAGCCCCTGGGCACAATGGACAAGAGCTCCTGTTGTTCTCACAGAGAAGCCGGCGATTCAGATCTGATGGCTTAAACTGTGCGCATCAAAGAGTCCCAACTGCACGTTTAAAGTCTCCCGAGATATTCATCTCCGTTTACAAATATCCTCCAGACACCCAAAAAAAAACAGGTCCAACGTCTCACTGGTTCAGCATTTCCTCCGAAAGAGAAGAGATCACAAAACGACCTGAAACCCTGATCCAGGTCTGATCTGACCCAGGTCTCAGCTGCCAGGTGAGCACCAGTTTTGCTCATCACAGTCTCGGGGAAAACAGGGACCTGTAAGGTTATATTGTCCTATGACCTGTTTACTGTAAAATTTCCTCTATTTCCGGGTTGGCAGTGAGGGGAAAGGGGGTTGGGGGGTGGGTGGGGGAGAGGGAAAGCCCAATTTGATACAGCACTAAGAGGATATGTTTATTTTATTATATAATGTTACCCCACACTGTTTCACTAAACTGGTTTCAAACTCAGAATTGAAGTCGTGGAAGAGTATTGTTTATATTTATCTGATAATGTTTTGGGGAGATATATCTTACGACAATCCTCAGTATAAAAATCACACTGAGGCTGCCCTTCAGTGAAGTACACCGTTACATTTACCGCTACGTACGCCAGTAAATAATCACAATTTCGGTGTGAGTTGCCGATTCGAGTGTGTTAATGTGCGAGAGATGCATTTACGGACCGCTTCGGGTGGGGGTGGCATGAAATAATTACAAATAATAATAATCCTTGCATTTGATATAGCGCTTTTCACGTCTTCTAAATGCCTCAAAGCGATTCACTGAATATGCTGTAAAGTGAATTTACTGTATATTTGTGGGCGAAATGCTTACTTATTTATGTATTTATGTATGTAAATATTGATTGATTGATTGAAATAGGCTAGTGTTGTTGAGGTAAGGGAGGGAGCAAGTCAGCAAGCCATCAACAGTGTCTCACATCCATCATCTGGCTACAATTGCATTATCAAGACACTCACAGGATTCAGACTCGATTACGATATTCACTTCCGAAGCAACTCATCGATCCGTGGAGAATTTTCTGCTATGTTTCTGCTATGTTTTAATACAAATACTTGCTACAATGGCAGAGGCCCTCTGTGAAACCTATTGATAACATTTACCTATGTATGGATATTTTCTTTTTGCTTGGAAATAGAATGTGCTCTCTCTGCCCCACTTACTGACTTCATTTTGGGTTTGTTTTTTGGTCAAATGGGAAGTCTGACACCCATCCCCATGCTTAAGAATATCTAAACTAGACTTAAATTTCGACATACGTATGCCAACCACACATACAAAATTCATTGTCTTTTTTCGGTAAAACTGACGGTGACTAAAATTCTGAACAAATCAGAACAGTCAGATCTTTGTCTCATTAAACTGCAGATTCCCTTGTAGGTTAAGTCCAGGATAAAACTCTTCTGCTGACATTTCCTGAAATATGCATTTGTTCATTTTTTGAGACTTACACACAGATTTTCGGAAAACAACCCAGGGATGGAATCGAAGTTGCAGAATACATCAGGACTGCCGGGTGTGACTGAAACTACTCAACGTATAAATGTCCTGGTGGATGAGCTGTGTTATCATTGTTCGGTGTGTGGAAAGAGTTTCCGTTTTCCGTCGGAGTTGGAAATGCATCGTCGAACGCACACAGGAGAGAGGTTTTTCGAATGCAGCTTCTGCAGAAAGCAGTTCAGTAATTCGCATATCCTCTCAGTGCATCAGCGAATCCACAGCAGGGAGAAACGTTTCGAATGCGATGTGTGCAAAACGCGATTTAACACGTCAAGTTACCTGCTGGTGCATCGGAGAACTCACACGGGAGAGAAGCCGTTCGAATGCAGCGCGTGCGAAAAGAGATTCATTACATCCAGTGACCTGGCAAGGCACAAGCGAACTCACACCGGACAGAAACCGTTTGAATGCAAGGCGTGCAAAAAGAAATTTAGTGAATCCAGTGACCTGCTGAGGCATCAGAGGACATCGGAGAGAAACCATTTGAATGCGACGCGTGTGAGAAGCGATTTAACACAGCTGGCGAACTCCTGGTGCATCGGAGAACTCACACGGGAGAGAAACCTTTCGGGTGTGAGGCGTGTGAGAAGCGGTTTAAAACGGCCAGTGCGTTGTCAGTGCACCAGCGGTCTCACACCGGGGAGAAACCGTTCGGGTGCAACACGTGCGAGAAACGGTTTAACAGGCTCTGCGCTCTGTCACGGCACCAACTCACACACACCGGGGAGAAGCCGTTTGAGGGCGACCTGTGCAAGAAGCGCTTTAACGCAACGGGAGCACTGCTGGCGCATCAGCGGACGCACACGGGAGAGAAACCGTTTGAATGCGGCGTGTGTCGGAAACGATTCAATAGGATTGGCAACCTGTCGGCACACCAGCAAACTCACACTGCTCAGAAGCAGTTCGGGTGCGAGCGGTGTGACAAGCGGTTTCATAGACCGGATAATCTGTCAAGGCATCGGCGGACGCACACCGGAGAGAGTGAGTTTGAATATGAGGTGTGTAAAAATAGGTTCAGTAAAGCCAGTGGTCTGGTCCGGCATCAGAGAACTCACACTGGGGAGAAGCCCTTTGAATGTGACGTGTGTAAAAAACGGTTCAATAGATTACATCACCTGTCTCGGCATCAACAAGTTCACACTGGAGAGACTTCTTACTAACACGGACAGACAGACACACCCACAGACAGCAACTTCAGATTCCTGTGTCTGTTTTTCCTATCACCATCCAAGCTCAGGATGCAAATCTTGTTCCAGGAGTAAGATGCATAGACAGGCACCGTGGAGGAAGGCTGTCCTGGTCAGGGACCAAATGTGAGGTAGGAAGGACAACTAGGGGATCGAACCTGATGCACACAGGTCCCGTGAGTCTGAGATATAGACTAAGGAGTTCAGAACCGAAGGTGAGAAGACGTTGATGGGAGCGTAGGCTTCTGTCCCATGTCCCATGTTCAGCTGCAGAAAGTTGCTGTTCATCCAGGCCTTGATGGGAGACGAGCAGGCAGTCAGATCATCAGGATCAACAACAACAACTTGCACTTATATAGTGCCCTCCATGCAGGGTAGCGTCTCAGAATGCTTAGAACTGGGATTATGACTAGAGTAGATAAAATAGATTTGGGTATCATCCGCGTACATGTGGAAATTGATCTCCAGATGATATCACCGAGAGGGAGCATGTAAATGAGACAAGGGAGAGGTAAAGCAGGGTCTCCCCGGAGCTGAACCTGCTCCAAGGTGACATGTTTGGCAATGGAATATCAGCATCGAGCCAATCCTCTATGGCAGTCTCGGTCGTCCGGTTCCTGAGTCCAGAGAGGTCCGCAGTGTTCCAGGGCACTGTTGATGACAGCACAGCCAGTCTGGCTCATTGGCAGGACTTCGAAGGGCAGACTGGTAAGCATGATGATGTGTCAGACACCGGCTGACAAAAAGAGTCAAAGGAGGGGGTCAAGAATAGAACCTTAGGTGACTGTGCGGTGACGGAATGAGAAATCATTAGAGGAGAGGCCTAAAATAGACACAGAGGAGGACTTGATCTTGGCTTTGGAGCTGAATGCTGATAATGAAAGCCTCCAGTAGGATTGTTTGATGACGGGTGAATCATGTCCTGCAGCACTATCAGAACATGTTCTCCCATACCCTTGTTAACAGTCTTCGGAGTACTCAGTCATTCACCTCACCATTGGTTATGGAAACTATTTGGTTCAAATAGCTGACTGCAACAGCTCCCGCCTTAACATTTACTTTTATTTCACATTTGAACTGGACATGAAAGTGAAACCAGCAAATCCTGTAGCTGGAGTACATTAAAGCAAATCATTACTTTTAATGGTAAAATCATATTTCATTTGAGGAAACAATTTTGGACACTTACCTTTTGCAATACCTTTCGCCCACAAAATATAGAATTCACTTTACAATATATCCTGTTAAGCGTTTTGAGGCGTCTCAAAGACATGATAAGGCGCTACATCAAATGCAAGGATTATTATTATATACATGTTATAATAAAGGGAATAATCTTCACTAATAAATCTTCACCATTAAAAGCTGAATTAAATGTGTGTCCGGGTGTTGATGTCCAGAGTCTAATCCTGCTTTCTGTTTCTGTGGGAATCACAATATAGACACAGAAACCATTTCAGCTCCAAGGAGATCCCACTTACCTGCCCCTCAGGAAGATAGCCACACGGGTAGAATCCAATTCTCTTTAATACACTCCCCATAATCTCTGGCTACACACCCAGACTCTGTGCTGCAACTAACTTGGACCTAAGTAACACTGACAATGCAAACAGGTGGAATACTATTCCTTGCACTGACACCACACATTGATGAGCGTTCAGGAACAGACTCATAATTGAGAAATAATACTGCAAAATTGAGAAAAGATTATCAATCTCTTTTATTAAATGAAGCAACTAAAAATTGGTTAACAATAAGTTTCGAACTGTTCCATGATCACACTGTTCTATGATCAGGTGTACAGTTGCTTAGCCTTCTGCACGCATTCTTTCCAGAAATCTTGCCATCGTCTGGCACTGGTCAGTTTTGCCTCTCTATCCTGTTCTATTTGTGCAAGCAGTTGAATGAAGTGATCTTTGTAGTTCTGTCCGAAGAGAGAGAACAATTATCACAAAAGAATACACTCTCCTCCCCCCCCCCCCCCCCCCCGTAGAATAAGGGGAATAAGAAATAGGATGGAAATTCAGCATGAAATTGCCCATTAAATATCTTCATGACCATTCAGTTTCTCAGGATGCAGTTTAGGAAGTTTTAGGGCACTTGTGTATTAGGATCCATTGATCCTTTGAGTTGCATTGTTGAAGATATCTCCATTGGTCCCAGTCTCATGAGCCCAAACAGGTTGGCCATCTCTCACATGAGCCTTGGATTACCGTACAGCAACCTGGCTAAATTCGAGGAAAGTTGTGTTTCCTCAAAACTGTTCCCACCACCAGAGAAAAAAAACATTTTTAAGACGAGGCCCATATTATCAACCTTGAAGGGCTGAGCACTGGACTTTACTCACAGCTGATCGGCCATTAAACTTCCCGATTTCATTTTTAAAAGGCGTCCTTCAGGGAAAAACAGACCGACAGTGACGTTTTCTCACATTTTACCAATTTTCCTGCCCTCTGCATGTCATCCAATTCAACAATGTGAAGCAATGTAGTCAAGCCCAATCCCACCTTCACGTTGTCCAGCAGAGAGTTTCTGGTTGAATTTTGCCCTCCTATGTGTGAGACTCCAACTACTTCTGAGCCCAGGTTTACAAACCTACCAAATAAGCATCATTTCTTGCATCTACTGCAGCTTGATGAACCATGGTTGTTTTTGTGGTTTTCACAGAGGCAGTCTCTTTAATCGAAGTCTGTATCTGCTTGTGTGAAAGCTCAGAGAATGGAATTCCTTTCCAAATCCTTAAACAACAGGCAAAAAAGAACATCTAAATCAGCTTTACGAGGTCAGAAACTCGCAGATCATGCTTTTTCAGCACAAAACGGGTGTCAGCTCTCCTTCATGAGTAGATTGTTGTCCTATGGTCTCCTCAGGCCTAACTCTGCAGACCTAACTTTCACCCCTCTGCTTGAAGCCCACTCCGCTTTCGAGACCACATGGATCAGGAATCCCACTACCAAGACCATCACAGAGCGTTCACTTGATTATGACTGACATGTTGTTGTCAAGCACGGTTAGTGAACTTAGCTCCAAGGAGGTAAGGAGGCCATGCTTACCTTCCTTCCCCCACCCCACCCCTCCAGTCATGCACGGAAACCTTAAGGTGACAATATAGGGCTGGTTTTATGGATTATTTAAACAAGATGGAACTGACACTAAATTAAGAGGTGTAATTAACAGACACCACAAATGCAGAAGGCTACAGGCAGATACTGACAGGTTAGTAACGGAGGCAAACTGGATTGTGAAACCACTCCCTTAGTTTCTGTAATGCACTTCCTATCTGCCTGGGTGATAAATCCGCTTTTGTTAGAATTCTAAAATAATCACCTGCCATCCCGTGGCAGCTGAACTTGTGGCTGATGAATATCGTCTTCTGGTGTGTGCCCAGCAATTTTGATTCGAATTAAAGCACTGGTCTTTTGCTTCACTTCTTCTCTTCCTACAAAAGAAAAGTTTCAGATCTGATCACAACCTCGGTGTTTGTGTCTTTTTTTTAATTGTTACTTGAGATCACTTTAGTGAAGAAGAACCAGTGTTAAGAAGGATAAACTATATGAGGAGTAACTGGATAAACTAGGGCTCTTCAGTTTTGAAAGAATATAAGAATGTACGTAAGATGGTTAACGAGATAGAGAAAGTAAACCTGGAAAAATACTTTCAACAAACACAAGGACAAGTAGGGGCAGTTTCAGTCAAATGAACTTCTGCATTCAAACTGTTAAAACCCTAATCCATGCTTTTGTTATGTTCAGAGTAGATTACGCCAACTCTCTGCTGACCGGACCACCCAACTCTTCCCATAAGATGCAGACTATCCAGAACTCCATAGCTCATGTCAGCTGTACCTGCTGAGCAGAGGGAGAGATTGGTTTTATAAGGTTTGAGAAGGTCAAAGAACTAGGGTGGGGGCAAAACCATGGAGGAATTTATAGGTAAGGATGAGGATTGTGAACTTGATCCGTGGCATGACAGGGAGCCAGTGGAGCTGGGTGATGGAGAGGACATGAGCTGCAGAGTTCCAGATAGTCTGTTGAGCAGTTAGTTGGCATAGTCAAGCCTGAACATGCCTAATGTTTGGATTAGGGTCTCAACTGCCTGAGGCAAAGGAAGGGGACGTGGGGGGGAGTAGGTTTAATTTTTACATTAAACACAAAGATAGGTAACTCTCCAGAACTTACTGCCAACCTGGATGTCATCAATGGTAAGGATATTGTCTGATTCCACAAGGAGGCGTTCAGCGAGACTGGACAGGGCAGACACAAAGTGCTGGGCAAGTACAGTTACCCGCTTCTACCAAAAGTGTAAAAAGGTTATGTTAAACATTGTGGGGAAGAGGCTTGAGTGAACAGACGGTAGATTTCATTTGAGTTATGATGGCCATGAGGGATACAACAACAACAACTTGCATTTATATAGTGCCCTCCACTCAGGGGAGCATCTCAGAGCACGTAACAGTAGCGGAGCCTGAGTCTGAGCCAGGGGGAGGGGGGAGGTAGCTGTAAGCATGGTAGAAAAGGAAAGTCTTCAGGCGGGACTTGAAAGAGGAGAGAGGGGTAGCAAGTCATAGTGGCTGAAAGTGCAACCTCCGATGGTGGGGTGAAGGGTGCAAGGGACGAGCAGGAGGCCGGTGCCAGTCGAGCGGAGGCACCGGGTGGTGTATTGGGAAGTGAGGAGGTTGGAGAGGTAGGGAGGTGCCAGGGAGTGAAGGGATTTGAACACAAGTGTGAGGATCTTGAAGTCGATCCGTTTGGTGATGGGGAGCCAGTGGAGCCTGGGCCAGAATTGGTGAGATGTGGGTACGGAGTTTGGTCCAGGTCAGTATGTGGGTGGCAGAGTTCTGAATGAGCTGGTTTTTTTGAATAGTGGAGTTGGGGAGACCGGCGAGGAGTGCGTTGGAGTAATCCAAGCGGGAGGTGACAAACGAGGGTTTCGGCTGCATTTGGGGTAAGGTACGGTCGGAGGCGGGCAAGGTGGCGGAGGTGGAAAAAGGCGGTCCTGGTCCGGGGATGAGGGAGAAATGGGGGAAAAGGAGTACAGGGTGGGGGCAGCGGTAAAAGCAGTAAAAGAAGGGGGTTGAAGTTGAGGAGGGAGGGGTGGCGCAGTCGGGAGGAAGAGGATGCAGCCAAGTCAGTTACTTTCCAATTATCAATCCGTCTAGCTTTTAACATCCCAATTGATTGCGCTCCACAGTTGTCTGGGCACTGAGTGCACCCACGTTTTCACAATCCTTTGTGAAGTGTTTTCTGATCTCACTTTAATACATCCCAGCTCCGATGTTAAGGTTATGATTGAAGATTGGGAATTGCATACCCCTTATAGAGAATCGTAGAATTAATTAATTTTCTTGCCTGGAGCTTCTCAGTGTAGCTGTTGATTTCCTGAACCTCTGCTTTTTGTCGTTCTTCCTCCTGTGTGCACAGCTTCTCCAGATCCTTAACGTGGTCAGGGTGTCCCAACACTGGGCGTAACTTGTTCTTGTTTATAAGCTGTTGAACAGCAAGTTTAAGCAATTAGCCCCGCACTTTTAAACGTTTTATTGGAATGCACAAAATTTACCATCAGCAAATCTTGCTTGGCTTCCAGCTCCTCCTTGGCACTGACCATATTGACGTCCACGGTCATTCACTCTAATTCATGGATCCCAGAGTGGCAGCATTTTGAATAACCCTCAATGTCCCATTTACACCTTCATCAGGGCTCTGACCAAGTCTGCCTTCTTGCAGCTGTGTAATATCGCCTGCCACCGGTATCTACCTCACTCCCAACATTTCTGAAACCTTCATCCATGCCTTTGTCACTTCCAGAACTGACTTTTCTAATGTTTTCTGCTCTCCGGCCTTCCCAGCTCACTTTCCTCAAATTTCAGATCAGCTGAAATCCCTTCACCTTGGCCTCACCCTCTCCTTTAAGAACCCACCTACCACATGTGTTAGGTCAGTGTCACTGAGATCCTCATCTACATCTTTATAAAACATAGAAATAGGAGTAGGCCATTCAGCCCCTCAAGCCCATTCCGCCATTCTATAAGATCATGGCTGATCTGTACCTCAAGTCCAATTACCCGCCCTTGCCCCCTATCCCTCAATACCATGACCTAACAAATGTCTATTCATCTCAGTCAATATCTATCCACCTTACTCAGTTTGATTTAAATTTATTTAAATCTATGTCTGATTTAAGAATAGCACCTTTAACAATGTAGAGCACACTTAGCAGTGCATTGGAGTGTCAGTCTTTGTGAGTTCAGAGACCCAATATGGGGCTTGAAGTCACAATATTCTTAATCAGAGGTGAAAGTGAGGCAAGGTGACACTTTTTAACCATAAAAAAACACAATAACCTAAAGATCTAGATGCCCAGATGCTATTACAGGTACCTTTGCATGCTCCAGTTCCTCCAGCTTCTTACTCAATGCGGAGCGAGTCTCTGCAGTACCTACAGAGATACTTTCCATGTGAAACTTGAAGACATCTTTGATCAGCAGCTGAGGTACGTGGGAGAGCATCTCCACGAATTCTCTCAGCTTCTCTCTGAATTCTGCAACAAAAATATTGGAAACTCATGTCAAAAACGGGAGATGTGGGAGAAGAGGAAAGAGGAGAAAGTGTGGAAGGTGAGATTGCTGTGAGCAGGTGGCGGTAGAGTTGAGGTGGAGAAAGCGGAGGCAGGTAAATGGATCTTGTCGATGTTAGAAAACAGGAAGTCCTCCTCACATTTGGAGATAAAGGTGGGAATGGAGGGTGGAGGAGTCTAGGGATATCTTTGCCTGCCAAAATAATCATGGAGTAGAAAGTAAATTAGACCAAGAACAGAGTGACACAAACCTTTGCTGTGGTCCAGGCATTTTTGACATTTGAGGTGAGTTCGCTGAGATACAGATGATCAGAGGTGACTGTTGTTCAAGGTGATTTGAGGAGGTAGAGTGCAATTTGGGATTTAGTTAGGGCTGAGGTGTTGTGAGTCAAGGCAAGGAATTATTGAGCAGCTGCAGTGTGAGAGGAAGGCCATAGGGAGTGAAGTTTGCAAGATTCAAAGGCATTTGTGAGGCAGACAGAGATATTTTCCTCCAAGGCTGGAAATAAATGGTGGCAGGCGTGGGACAGGGAGGGAGATAAGGGAGGAAAGGATGAAGAAATGTTCTAAGATGGCTTTGTCAGAGTTAGAAATCTCAGAAATGTAAAGACCTTGAGAGATGACTGAAACCTTTAAGTCCATTCTGTCCAACCATTTCAGACCATTCAATCTGAAACATTTGTTACCTTGCAGACAAGTATTTTGGTAGTTCTCTGCCTGAATAAGGTACGACTGCATTTTGTGAAGGAGTTCATCTGCACATTGTTCAAATGTATCTTTTAGATATTCTGGTCTGGTGACTGGAGTTCTGTCTTTCTTTTTGTAGTATTCCTGTTAGAAGATAAAATACTGTTGGAAAATTACTTATTATTGGAGTTTGCTTCTGAACCCAGTGTGATGCAATACCAATGAGGGAAGCATTGAAGTTGATTACCAAGTCAATAAAAAAAGAGATTCAAAAAGAGAAGGGAGTTTTTAGCATAAGTGGTATCCTACAATTTGTCCAGATTTCTCAAAGAAGACTATTTTTCTCACCTCAGCAAGTGCCAGTAGAGAAGTGGTGCCTTCCCACAAAATCCGTCTTATCAGGCCTTTAAAATGTCTGGAAGAGACAGATGTTAAAGAGTTTATAATATTTTGAAACTGATATGTTAAATAAAGATGAATCTAGCCCTTTATGAAAGCACCTTATAGATCCAGGCAAAGTGATCATAGTATAAATTAGAGATGAACAGAGGAAGGATTGGATATCTCCATTGTCTTTTTACAAATAAAATTGTCTCTCTGGTGAGGCTAAATTCATTGGGTAAATGCTTCACAATATGAGATCCATCTCGATGGAATCTCAGAACCCATAACTTCTCTGACCCAGAAATAAGAATGATACCAACGGAGCTAAACTGAATCTTCCACTCAGAGTTAGCAAACAATATAAACAATAGACATTTTCCTGTCTAAAAAACTAATTTCAAATAGATGTTCAGTGTACGTACTCAGAGTCTTCTGGTTTTTCTCCAAATATCTGATACTTTGGATCAAAACGATTTGGCTTGGAATATTTATGGAGACTGGAAAGACAGAAATGTTCAACAGTCATTCATTACGAGAACAATTAAGATAAGCTTGAGCTCTTCAGCTTTGAAAAGAAGCCTTTCCTACAAAATATACAATCACTTCACAGTAAATCCTAGGTTAATAATAATAAACAAACAAAATTACATTTCACGTCGAGAGGATGTCCCAAGGCGCTTCACAGAATATATTGTCAAGTGAATTGACTATATTTTGTGGGCGAAACGCGGCAGCCAATTGCGAACAGGAGTGTCCCACAAACAATCATGGATTAAATTGACTAATCTTTTTTTGGAAGGAATTATTACCCCTGGAAAAGCGATGCGCCAATTGACTAAAAACCAGGTTCTTACTTACTGCTTGGCAAACAAAGGCGTGTGGAGTAGAATAAGGAAACTTACCCAACATTTCGCCCTACCGGGAATTGAACCCAGGTCTCTCGCTTGTGAGGCGAGTGCTCTAACCACTGAGCTACAGGACTCCACTGACATGAAAGGCACTATATCATCAGCTTTGACTGAGAAGTCCTCTGCATTTGAATAGTGTGCCACGACTTGCTGTCACTCGTGGAACCATGCCACAGCAGAATCACAGTGCAGTAGGGGAGAAAGGGGAAGTAAATTATATTTTAAATCTCAGAAAGGGAATAAAAGACTTGGACTTAGTGTCTGAGGAGAGAACATAAAATGTTGGAATAAAACCAATCAAAATATAAGATCGAAGTTGATAAAAATAACAATAGGGAGCACAAAAGTCACTTACTTTGTTGATGTAATAGAGAATGGTGATGGAGCAGGTCTGGATAATTTTAAGTTTAAACCGTGAGGACCGGTTCCAGAGGTCATTCGGAAAGAAGAACTCAAATTTACTGGTTGAGATGATGCTGCAGTAAATATAGAATATAGTACATTTGAAGCAGAATGTTCTAGATATCTATCAATATTCTGAAATCATACTATGTTACACGCAGAATACATCAAAATAGAATACATTTAAAGACGTTCAGTAATGAAAAGGGGAGAATACTACCAGTGAACTGTAGCCACCCAAAATGTTATCATAATTGTACTTTATTTTATATTGTCAAAACAGACCTCTTTCACCAAGCTATGAATCATCTTTCCCCTCCTGACTTGAAAGGTGCTATATAAAGGTAAATTGCACAGTCTCAACAATCTAACATTATAGTAAATTTAAAACATTATGCAGAGCAGACAGCATATATATATACCCAGTGTTGCAGTGATAAATACAATTGATAGTCCTAAAATAAAGAATGGAATGTGTTTAAGGAATACTGCAAATTTGTCCCAGATTTTCCAAAGGGTGAAGTGATTGAGGGGAACTATGAATAAACTCCACCCTTCCTCATCTAGCAACAATTTCCTTGACATTCCTGATAATAACAGTATTTCTCTCCTTATCTCCTGAAGGCACTTGATGTCTTTTCCATTGGTACCTCTCCAAAATGACAATTAATCATGTAAAAGTCCTTACAGCTAATATCAACAAACAATTCATATGCAAAGATTTTCCCAGTTGCCTTGTATCCTCATCTGATACCCACTCCAGCAGGCATCCCTAAGGATAGATAACATCCCATCCCTGATACAAGGGCAAAGAGACTAATTGTAGTCCTAAGTGCTGCCCCAGAAATTGTGGATCAGCTTATTCAGCAAAGACTAAGAATTTAACCTGTAATAATAATTATAATCCTTTCATTTGATATGGAATTATTTGATAGGGATTATCATTACCGGAAAAGCGATCTACCAATCAACTACCAAACGGATTCCTACTTACTGCTAGGTAAACAGAGGCATGTAGAGGAAGGAAACTTGCCTAACGTTTCGCCCTGTCCAGAAATCAAACCCAGGTTCTCTCACTTGCGAGGTGAGTGCTCTAATCACTAAGCTACAGAACTCCTGTGAATTGGTAGTGCATGTGGCCCAAAGCTTTGCCCACTAGAGATCAGAGAAGCTACAAATGATTTTAAGTATAGAAATCTTACCTCCGTACATTAATTGGTCTTCAACTGGGTTGAAAAACTGATCATTTGCGACTTTTATTTTCTGTGTTCTGTAATATAGGTTACATCATTCAGTATACATCAAACAGTGTTTGAATCAAACACATCTTCTCATATTTTTGCAAGGATATGGAATCCCTTAATTTTCCTCCCAATTCCCCTCACCTTCTCTGTTACATAAACCCCTTCAGCATCCTGCTCTCAGTCCTTCCATAATACAATTACATGACCATTAAGTAATTGGATAAATGCTTCATTTGGCAAAAAGAATAGGAATGTCTGAGGCTCAAACTCAACATATAAACAAGCTAAACTAAAAACAGTAGTACTGCTTTTTTGGAGGTGGATGTCTCAAACATTAAGAACAGCCAATGGGTCAGGTATTAGAGGGTGCTATCTATTCTACTTGGAGAATCCCTCTACTAGCGATTCATAATTGTAGCTTGTGAATCATTAGGTCATCCACACTTTGGTAGCAAAATACATCAAGTATTGCTCATAGCTGTCGCAGTGGCACCATTGGCAAAGCCTCATAAGATGATGACATTTGCGATTTGGCTCACACGTAATCAATTACAGCCAACATTGATTTATAAAAAGTCTTGCTTGATAAATTTAATGGAGTTCTTTGAGTAAATAACTGAGGAGTTTTGATATAGGGAATTAAGTGGATGTTGTGTATATTGATTTTCATAAGTTACATAAGTGCTTCACAAAGATGGGTCTAAATTAAGTGTGGAGAAAGCTGATTTTTTTCCTGCATTTTCACGTCTCGAAGATTTTCTCAGAGGTGGAGTGGAAACCCAAGGAAGGCAGGAAATTGGGAGGTGGCAAGGGTGGGAGGGGATGACCAAATGTCTGGTCAAAGAGTGAAGAGATTTTGGAAGAGCTTTGTAAACAGAGTAGAGCACAAGACAGAAAGATGGATTTTGGAAGAGAGTTCCAGAGAGTGAAAGGAGAGAAACCTGAAAGCTCCCTTGTTGAGTCAAATAAATGTATTTATACTACAGTGAAACTCACATAAGTCGTATCAGTCGCAAACATAACATTTAACATGAATTACGCGAAGTCTGAGTTGGAGCCAAACTGTATAAGATGTATAAAATCCGATTTAATCAATAGTCTACACTGCGCATCCGTAATTCAATGCAGCCGGTAAGTGCACGTGCAGTGACAGATCAGGACTATGTTTCCCGCGATTCAATGCATCTTGACCCATAAGAGCACTTACCGGCAAGCATCGGTACTACATTGAAATGTAGATCTTCTGCGCATGTGATGATGGGTAAAGACCACGATTCCTGCCATTCAATGCAGCTGGACGGTATTGATTACCTCTTAACTTGTATCGCCGCTCCGCTATCTTCCATTCCTCCCACACTTACCGTCTGCATTGAATCGCGGGAAATAACGTCTCATGCATCGATGGGTCAGGACGTCATTTCCTGCGATTTAATGGAGGTTAGAGGAGCAGTGATACGAGTCAGGAGGTGATAAATATGACTAGTGCAAAGAAATCTCAGTGGTTTTGATAAGAAACTGAATGGGACTTGGATGGAGTACTGTAGCTCAGGGGTTAGAAAACTCGCATTGCAAGCGAGGAGACCTGGGTTTGATTCCCGGCAGGGCAAAACATTGGTTAAGTTTCCTTACACCACACACCACTGCTTACCTAGCAGTAAGTAGGAACCCGGTTGTTAGTCAATTGGCAGATTGCTTCTCCAGGGGTAATAATCCCTTCAATTTTTTATTTTTGAATAATAATAATCTAGTCATTCAATCCACGGCTGTTTGTGGGACATTGCAGTGTGCAATTGGCCACCAGGTTTCTCACACAAAATATACAATCAATCCACTTTACAATATATTCTGTGAAGCGCTTTGCGACATCTAGAAGACACGATAAGGTGCTATATCGAATACAAGGATTATTATTATGTATGATTTAGAGGATTAACCAATTTATAAAAATAAGACTTATGTGAGTTATACTGTAGTCTACACAGAATGATTTTTTTAAACAGAAAATTATTAAGGTTTTTAGTAACAGAATGCTTTGAGCTTAAGTTTCCACTTACTGTGTAATGTCGTGGATAACACTGATGACCACATCATCTAGGGCATGCTTTCCCATCCTAGATGGATGCAGCAGGCTCTCTGATTGTGTGAATGTCAATCTGCTCTCCTGTTTATCAGCGCGGGCTGCTAGACTTATGGGTCCCTGCAGTGGAAAGCCTGAAACGGTTGGGCCCTTGGATTTAACATAAATGAAAAGTATTTATAACCATAGGCCCTCATGACCTTGCCCTCAGCCAGCTGTGGTAGCATCTCCGTGAGGAGAAGTTTCAGATCTTTGCCTTCTGTGAGGCTCTGCCTGATTGTTAAAGTCTGAGTGATTCAGGTTGTTAAAATTAACCCAAAAAGTTTTTGACACATGTGCTTAGCTTAAATGAGTTTTAACAAATAAAGTGATAGTTGTGAAGTCGGCCCGCTCTGTCACACTGACGGCTGCTCACTTATGGGCGCAGTGTGTGTGTTTGTGTATGGGTGTGAGTCTTCCCAGCCACAGCACATCGTAGTGGCTCCGGAGGACGGTGCCTGTATAGACACCCTTGATATACAATCACTGAGCTCTTCCCTTGGAATGAAGATCTATCAGGGGTTAACTGTACATACACACAACTACAACAACAACAAGATTACATTTGTATAGCGCCTTTCACGTCGGGAGGATGTCCCAAGGCGCTGGACATTTCAGCTGGGGTCAGGGGGGGAAGAAGGGAGGGGAAGGGTGGGGGGTGGCCAATGGCATGGTTGAAGAGGAGGGTCTGGAGGCAGAACTTGAAGGAGGCTAAGGAGGGGGCGAGGTGGAGTGACTGGGGAATGGAATTCCAGAGATTGGGGGCGGAGTGGCTAAAGGCTCTCCCGCCAATGTTGGGGTGGGTGGGTCGGGGGACGTGGAGCAGGCCGGAGCCTGCTGAGCGGAGGGATCTGGCGGTTTGGTATGCGGGTGTTAGGAGGTCGCAGAAGTAGGGTGGGGCGAGGCCATGGAGGGCTTTGTATGTGAGGACCAGGATCTTGAACTGGATCCTCTGAAGGATAGGGAGCCAATGGAGTCGGGCGAGAGTGGGGGAGATGGGGTCATGGAGTTTGGTGCGGGAGAGGACACGGGCTGCAGAGTTCTGGATTATCTGCAGCCTGTGGAGGGAGGAGAACTACATATACAAATGTGTATATATTATATAGCCACACAAATGAGGATGTATTCATACACAGTCAGACTAACATATACATGGACACACACAGAGCAGACACACAGACAAGAATATAGACACACTGACATAACACTCTTAAACTCACCAACAAACAATTGAGATACCTGCTCCTTTTATCCAGTAAGTCCAGAATAATTTTGGAAAAGTCATACAGCTCTTCAGGTGTCACACTCTGGAAGGTAGGAGTGGGTTGGGGACAGAGGGGACAGATGCATTACTTACAATGAGAGAAATTTCTCTTGATTCAGGATCCCCTACAACAACGTTATATTGTAAAGCGCCTTTCATGTCAGAATGCCCCAAGGCGCTGAACAGTCGGGAATCAAGACCAGAGCGTGATGGGGGGGCAGGGTTGGGATGAGGAAGGGCAGAGGGGGTAGGTGGGCGGCTGAAGGCACGGTCGATAAGGTGGGTCTCAAATTTCGCCTTGAGTTCCAGTGGGTGGGGCAGAGAGGCTGAAAGCCCGGCCACCAATGGTAAGGCGGGTCGGGCAGGAGACAATTAAGCAGGCCACACAAGACTGTGCGGAGGCTGGAAGAGAAACCGTTGGCGGAGACATATTGGAGATAATGTGAGAGATAAGACCTGAACCATTCAAGGACAGAACCTTGAAGTTTGAGGTGAGAGGAGAGACGGTGGAGGAGGGTGGAGTGGTCCAGGGTATCAAAGGCAGCAGAGAGGTCGAGGAGGCAGAGGGAGCCCTGGTCACAGATGGACAGGATGTCGTTTGTCACCTTGACCAGCGCAGTTTCCATGTTGGATTGGAGGGGCTCGTAAAGGGAGTAGTAGGAGAGGAATGAGTGAAGCTGGGAAGGATTTATGGGCTGGTGTTTGTGGGAGGAGGCAACTATTAAGTTAGCGGGAGGAAGAGAATTGGGAAGGATGTGGATGAGTGAAAGGGGTTGGGTGGTGGGTGGGAGGGTTGTCTTCTAGAAGTGGTGTCAGTGGGCCTTGTGGAGAGACTGGGGGATGAGGCAGTTGGGTGGCTGTTCTGGGAAACCATCTGCAAGTTACGTGATAAGCCTGGCAGTGGAGATGCCCAAGCTGGGATAGATGGAGGCTGTGGAAGTGATGGGGACCATGGAGGAGGCAGACAAAGAGAGAGAGAGAGAGAGAGGAAGAGCGGAAAATTGAGAAGGGGATGGAAGGAGGAAGCAAGAAGGGGTCCCAGAGCGGCAGCCAAAAGCAGAAGCCAATGCTTCAAAGTGAATATTAATGTTATATTATTGTTTATTAATGTAATATTAATAGTTCTAAATAGAGGCCGTGATGCTCGATTCAAGGTTCCCTTGTGGACCGTGGGCACTTTTGGATGATGTACAGGTTGTATCTGGTATCCTTAGAACCACGGAAGGGTTAAAAAGCATTCACAAGAGGGAAAGAACAGAAAATAATTCCATCTGATTATTATGAAAACAAATCAGGCAATATGACCAACCTCTTTATCCATGTTTGGTCGCATACATGCATCTAATTTCCTCTCAAAATGCTCCAGGTAGGAAGATATATTCATTCCCTGGTGATTGCTGATCGCTACCTGCAATGCAGAGTGGTTTCTTAGCATCTTATGAGGATATGTCCATTTCTAGCTCAGGGACCTGAGGTCAACATTGCTCATTGCCTCACTATTACAATTTACAATTTAAATGGAAAATTCCTAAATTAAGTCTTGAAGAGGAGGCAGTTTCTCAACAATCCACCAAATAAAACTGACCACTCATTTCATTCATTTTTGGTGTTCAGCTGAGGGTCGGACACACGTGGAAACTCATCACTGTGCTTAAGAGTATCCAAATTAAAATGACAATTCCATGCATCACACCTTTACATGGAAATTCCAGAAATAGATTGTAGGAATGGGATGCACACTCTCTCCCTGGAGGGACACATTCCACTTACCAAATTCCGGAGAGTATTAGGCGCAGGTTGGAAAGAGCTAAAGCGTGCATTGGGGTAACTGCTGAAGTCTAACCAGCTAAACCCACACAGCTTGCCATTGGAAATAATAATAATAATGATAATAATCCTTGCATTTGATATAGACATCGCTGTCTGGCAAGCTTTCCCATTGTTTGTCCAACAAGGACCACCCTACCTGTTACTGTTTGGGCTTACTAGGAGCTGAGTGGGAACACTCCCTGCCCCCAGTGACTGGCCTACCCTTCCAAGCCCTGCCAATGAGCCAATCTGGCTGTAGTGTCATCAGCAGTGCCCTGGAATACTGCGGACCCGTCTGGCTCAGGAATCGGACTACCTAGACTGCTACAGAGGTCTCAATTCTGACAATCCGTTGCCAATCATGACACCTTGGAGCCAGTTCAGCACCAAGGAGACCCTACGTACCTTCCCCACCCCCCCGAAGAAGAATGTTTACAAAAACAATTTAAATGAAGAAGACCTTTCAGCACCATTTAAGGAAAAACTATTCCTATTTGCTGGACAGTTCAGTACCTACCTGTAACATCTCAGCACAACTGAGCTGGTGCAAAGGAAACCGTTTTAACTGGTATTAACTTTTGCAATATTTGTCTTAAGTTTCAACCAGGATTTCAGCCTTTTAATTTCAGAATAATTTCCAGAATAACATCCTCGCTAATTGTGATATCAAGTTGATTTGTAAATGAATCCCATGCAATCTGATTGTAGCTTTTCTCAATATGTTTCACCTGGAGAGTTTGAAAGCTTTTCTTACCTCAGATTTTATTCTTGCTTGAGTGTTTGTCAGAAACCGCTGAATTTTCTCAATGAAGATCAAATCCATTGTGAGACGAAAAAATTTGTCTTCAAACTTTCTGATCACCTCAGATGCCTTTTGGAAGAAAAAAAGGTAACCCATTCATGAAACAAAGTTCCAACTTCCTACTTTTTTTGTAGTTTATTAATTCCACTTAATGTATTTTCACATTGAAAAGAACTTCACACAATAGTAATAATCCTTGCTTTTGATATAATGGTTTAACACGTTGTTAAGATGTCAAGGATTCAAGGATTTTAGTTACTGTTTTTGGGGCAGCCAACTTGCACACATCAATGTGCCACAAACTGCCATGAAATGAGTGACCAATTTTATTTGTGACAAATGACCAACTAGTGATTATGGGGAGGTATAATACAGGGTGTCCTTGGAGCTGAACTGGCTGCATGATAATATTTCAGTTCTGTAGAGTGCGTGAGTTTGATATCAGGCTTGGACAGGATAGCGCTCAGCTGTGATTTCCTCTCTCTCCCCTTGCCGACACTAATAGTCAAGGCTCATTATGTTTCATATTGGGTTTAATTCTTAATATTTGCAAAATATTGAATTATGGCCATTTGGGTGCATTATTGAAGGTGCCTTTGGAACAAAAAATACCTGTGGTATCTTTCAGGGATGATAATATTTTGCAAATATCAGGAATTAAACCCAATATAAAACCTAGTTTATTTTGCGGTATTTCATAACCAGATCCTATTAGAATTCCTGGTGGGAGATCTGCCCTGGACTTTGATCACATTGAAGTAAGTTGCTGCAGATTGCCATAAAGTATGTTCAGTACTGGGTGAAGTTCCCATTTACTTGACATGAATTATTTACTAAGGGATATAATAATACTAATAACAATATTATTATTATTATAATGTGAATTAGACACCATGGATTTATGTTAGTTAAGGTTCTAAGAAGGATTTGTATTAAATTGGGTTATTTAAAACCTGCCTGTTCTAATGACAATGTTTCCATTACTTCCAAATCCACCAGGATTAATCCTTCTGTTTTGGCAATGTTTCTGGCTGTGTTCTCAAGACTTTGTCCATAGATCTCAATTTCCTCTGGTGTAAAGTTTCCACCTTTCGAAAATAACCTAAAAGACAGGTAATAGCACAGCTGTAGAAAATCCATCAAGTCAGTAGGACACCTCAAGAATCATAGAAATTTACAGCACAAGTAGAAGGCTATTTGGTCCATTGTTTGTGTTGGCTCCGGTGTTTTTGCTTAGCCTTCCCCCGTAAACCTGCATCTTACTCCTTTTTAGATATTTAGTTTGAAAGCAAATATGAAATGTGCCCCAGCCACTCTTCTGGCAGTGTATTACATATCCCAACACTCCGTGCATGAAATCAGTTCTCCTAATCTCCCCATTTGCTTGCTTACTAACTACAGTGGAAGCCGCTTAAGCCAGGCACCGGTTTACCTCGGACACCAGGTAAATCGGACAAAACACACGGTATTCTTACTTGTTTTAAATATGATAGTTATCTTGGACAAAAGCAGACATGTAAGCCTATGTTCCCAATAAAAATCCAATGGACACTTTTCCCTTTGGGTACCTGAAGGATGTCATGCAGAGCGCATTACGATCACGCAATTCCTGCAGTGTTTTTTCCAGCTTCTGCTGAAAGTTGCGGAGTGACATCCTCACAGCAGTCATGTGTTTGTCCAGTTTGGAATGTAGGGAGTTTACCATCGTGATCAGCCTAAGGAGAGACCGGAAATGTCAACAACTATTTTTTAATACCAGGGCATGATATGATAACCTCTTGGCTTTCACATTCCACCTCAACATCCCAAAATACGGGTATTATTTATGTATGCAGCGACCACCAAGCCTGCGATGATGCCACCAAAGGAGAGCGTGCAGAAGATAAAGAGAAAACAACCTTCGGAACGGCAGGTGACTGTGCAGAGGGCAGAAGAAAAAGTTATTGGATGAGACAAAGTATTGATCCTTGGACAGAGGGAATATAAAGCTTTGGATGGAGCGATTAACTGAGTGGTTAGGCAGCAGAGAGATTGAGGACGACAAGGACAAGGAGCCTTGGTCGAAGACAAATAGAACGTCATTCAAAATATTCATCCTAATATCTTTGCATTAAACCCTAATACTATAATAACAATCCTTTCATTTGATACAGCACCTTATCACACCTTCAAGACGTCTCAAAGCGCTTCACAGAATATACTGTAAAGTGAATTGACTGTGTTATGTGGGCGAAATGCGGCAGCCAATTACGCACAGCAGTGTGTAAAGATAAATGACCTGTGTGCTGATCTTTTATAGATATGAGCTCCTGGGTTACAACGAAGAGGCTTTCCCTGGCTCATTTGTAAAGTCCAGAATCAAGGAGTGAGGCGGATTTGTGGTAAACAGTGGAAGAGGCTGCAGGAAGGGAGGGATCTGGGCTACGCTAGTTGAGAAAGCATGTCCGCTTGCTACTTAGCTTCAATTTACCTGTCAGACTTTGTGGCATTTCTGAAAATGGTCTCCATGCTATATATGTTTCGCCGGAAGTTCACAATGAATTTGCAATGCTCTGATTTGAGGATTAGAAAATCAGCTTGCAATTTTGTAAGAGACTCCTCAACCCCTTTACAATGCCGTTTCACCTTCTCCTTGTGCAAGCGAAGTTCCGCTGTGAGAAAAGAGCAATGCTGTGACTTGACAATGATTACAACAACAATAAGAACTGGGGTAGCGTCCGAGAGCACTTGACAGTGGAGGAGCACGATGCCAAGCTGGGAAGTGACCGTCGAAAGGAAAGGTCTGAAGATGGAGAAGGAAGGGGTAAGGTGGAGGGATAGAGGAAGAGTGTTCCAGAGTTCAGCGGCAGAAAGCATGGCCGCCGTTGGTGGAACAGAAGGTACGAGGGACATGCAGGAGGCCAGAGCTAGTCGAGGGACGCAGCGGGTTGTGGAGTAAGCAGGTTGTAGAGGTACCAAGGCATGAAGGGATTTGAAAAGCAGGTGAGGATCTTGAAAAATCGATCCATTCGGCGATCGGGAGCCAGTTGAGCCTGGCTGGAACTGGTGTGATGGGGGCACGGAGTTTAGTACAGGTGAGTATGTGGGCGGCGGAGTTTTAGATCAGCTGGATCTTATGGATGGTAGAGCTGGGGAGACTGTCGAGGAAGGCATTCGAAAAATCGAGGCAGGGAGGTGACGAACGCAATGGACGAGTGTTTCGCCTGCATCTGGGGTAAGATGAATGTCTGTGAAGTGCGTCACTATATTGATAGTACAAAGCGCAGTACCAGCTCTGACATTGAGTACATCCATCTTGATACGTTTGACCCTAGGCTCGTGCAGGTGAAGTCGCAGCTCCAACTCCCCTTTGAATTCTTCATTCTGGCCCATTATAATTGTCCTGGCATTTTCCAGCGCTATCTCGTACCAGTCCTCAAAGTGTTCAAACAAATTAAAACATATTCTGCAATAAAACACAGTGGATGTTAATACATACATCTTTAGCACCAGAGCCGCTCACAGAGCAGGCTTCTATTTGGAAATTGCTCAGAAGATTGAATGGAATTCCTGATCTAGTATTCCGATATTCCGACCCGGAGAAATGATACACCGTCCCTTGAAATTAAAAAAAATCATTATGTTGTTCAGGCTGGCTCAGGTGGTAGCACTCTCACCTTTGAGTCAGAAGGTTGTGGGTTCAAGCTCCACGTCGGGACTTGGAACTCATATGGTCTAACCTGATCCTCTGATGTAGTGCTGAACCTGTGCACAACCTCCACATCAGGTTCGATCATCACCAGGTGTCCTTTTTAGCGCACATGCCATCCCTGATCACATAGCCTGCCTCCGACCACACCTCACACCCAATGCTGCGAACACGCTATCCAGGCTTTCATCAACTATCACCTCAATTTTTCCAATGCCCTCCTTGTCAGTCTCCCCAGCTCCATCTCCCCAGCTGCCCATCCCTCAATCTCAAAACTCTCTGCTGCAATCTCTTTGCCTTGCCCATTCTTTACCCATCTTCAAATAGCAGGTGAAGATCTTCCTCTCCAACCGTGCCTCGGGTCACCTCCCCCCCCCTCTCCCCGAGGTGTCTTCATAACTATGTAATGTACAATTTTCACTGAGGACACCAACCTTTTCTTTATTTTGGAAAACATTTCTTTGGAAATCAGGATATTCTTCACACATGCAAGGGGCTCCTCCTCCTCCTCCTCCTCCTCATCATCATCATCATCCTCCTCCTGCTTCTCCTCCCCCTCCTGCTTCTCCTCCCCCTCCTGCTTCTTCTCCCCCTCCTGCTGCTGCTTCTCCTCCACGTCTTCGTCAGGTTCAATCAGAAATACCTTCTTCGAAATCTGCTCAGGTATTTTTGGCACAACATAAATTGCGTACGTATGCCCTCTGGAGGTGGTAAAATGCTCAAGTATCATCAAATTTGGGCTTTGATTAATTTCTTGTGAATTGAGCTAGAAAGAAATAAAAGGCACTGGAATCATGTTGTGCTGGAGAACATAAAGTACCATGCTATTGTACCAGCATGTCATAAAATCTAGCCCTAAAAAACAATGGCTAAATGGGATCGAGAAAGTAATTTGAGAACAATATTGTAACACAGATCAGGACAGACAGACCTGATCGTGGCTTATTAGAATAAAGAGAGGATTTCAGCATCTCTGCACTCTACTCTATATTCCCCAACTCTAACGCAAGTTATCTGATGGGTTCACATCATTATGTATCTTACTCTAGTTTCCAGCCAGCTTAGGCATACAGTCATGACTCTAACAACAACAACTTACATTTATATAGCACCGCTCATGCAGGTAGATACCATTATAATAATCCTTGCATTTGATATAGCGCTTTTCACGTCGGGAGGACGTCCCAAAGCGCTTCACAGAACACACTGTAAAGTGAATTGACTGTATATTTGTGGGCGAACGCGGCAGCCAATTGCGCACAGCAATGTCCCACAACAGTCGTAGATTGAAAAATGACCAATTTAATTATTGTTTTTGGTTTTTTTTTTGAGGATTATTATTAGGCGTGTGGAGTAAGGAAACTTGCCCAAGGTTTCGCCCTCTGCCTGGAATTGAACTCAGGTCTCTCGCTTGCAAAGCGAGTGCTCTAACCACTGAGCTACAGGACTCCACATTGAGAATGAAACAGATCATCTTTGTTGATTTGCCAGCCACTGATGAGATTTAATAATGATAATCATTGCATTTGGGTATTTCACCTTTCACATCAGGAGACATTCCCTCAATTAAAATGAGGCTTTCTCCGCACATCATTTAACAGAATTTTTACTACAAAGTGTTCTTACACATTCACTTTCTCACTCTCCTGGTGGAACCTCCTCGAGCAGTATAAACCGGAGACCAATGACATATTACAACATTTTGGGGATGATAATAAAATATACACTAATCTCCTATCAAGAGGCTTTGTGAGCCTATCACCCCCACCCTCGCCTGGCTCTATTGGCTTCCCATTCTCCAGTGGATCAAGTGCAAGATCCGCATTTTGTATTCAAATCCCTCCATAGTCTCGCAACCTTCTCAGTCCCTATTGATCCACTGCTCATTCTGTTCACTGGGTACTAGTCCTATCACCCCACTATTGCTAATTCACCTTGTGCAAGTCTGCCTACCTCTTTGACCATAATTTCAGTAACCTTTCCCTACCCCGCCCTGCTCAGCTGCCACTCCCATCTTGGATGCCAAGCCAGGATCATCAAGTGATTTGGAATGTCCTCCCAACACAAAATGCATGGTATCATATTACAGGACCTTTTTGTTCTCATTGATCACTTTGAACTTACACTTTGTTCTTCAAAGCCAGTTCTCTCTGTGACAATTTCTCTCTCAGGTGGTTGCCTGTTGATGTTCTGAGATTGATTCGAGTCTGCCTGGAGAATATCACTCCTATCAGGCTGAGGAACCTTCTGCTTCTGGTCAACTGTTTCAAGGGTGAGATCTAGAGGAAGGAATCATTAGATCTGTAATGTTGAATACTGCATTTGTATGATCACATACATATACATAAATGATTTGAACTTGGCCATAGAGAGCAACATTTTAAAGTTTTTTTCAGATGACACAAAACTTGGGAACATAGTAAACAGTGAGGAGGATGGTAGCAGACTGCAGAAGGACATAGACAGACTGGTGAAATGGGTAGACACATGGCAGATGAAGTTTAATGCAGAAAAGTGTGAAGTAAGGCATTTTCGGAGGAAGAATCATCTACACACCTTCAGTATGAACGACTGCCTCAAACTCTGATGGGACTGATTCTTCCTCCATTTTTTCTTTCTGCAATAAAATGATGTCAAAATATTTATGTCAAAATAATTAGCATTTTACAATGAAGTTCTTGCTTCCCAACATGAAAGTCATGCATAATCTGCTGCCACTCAAACTTACCTGCTTTCTCCAATAGCTCAGCAAGTTTACTCAGCAAGTATAACTAAAGACCTTCCTTTTTGGTCGTGCTTACAATTAGTTCCCTTCTCCCTCTCCCCCTAGCTCAGGGTCAGACTCCGCCACTGTCAAGCACTCCTGTACGCTAACCTGTGTGAAGGTCGCTATATAAATGCACGTTGTTGTTGTTGTTGGTTGGTGGTGGTGGTGGTGAGGATCTAATCTTCACAGACTGTGAAAGTTCCAGTTTCAACCCTTGTTCCTAGCCTGATTCTGTCCTCACCACATACACCCTCAACTTCCAGTAAAGGTCTTTAGACAATGGTTGATACAGGCACCCTCCCTTACTCAATTGTAACCCAACAATAGTCTTAACTCACTCAGCACGGACTGGAACGTGTAATTCTTTGGTCTGTACATGTTCGTAACTTGCTGAGCCATCAGGAAAGTTACTTGGTTTGATACTTAGCAAGAGTATACTGGATCTTACTACTGTCATTACGGTAGGTAGTTGAAGTATTTTCTTACCAGATTAGAAGTCTCAATGATGTGAAAACAATTACAGAGGGATACTTTATATTTGTCTAGTTCATTTTCGGTGATGGAAATGTAATTCTCCACCAACTCCATTTGTTTGTGGTAAAACTCATTGTACCTGTACAAAGAGGACCATCATATAAGAACAAGTGACAGGATTGTACCATTTATCCAATGTAATTCAACGAGTTAGCCTCAACAAAAGCTCTCTAAATTAATATCACTAGCCTGTCTGACAACATCTAGTTTTAGCTCATTAAGTAGTCCCGAAAGGCCAGAAAGCGCTCTGAGACACCGTCCGGCGTGAAGGGTGCGATATAAATGCAAGTTTGTTATCTACTGAGATTTTCAATATTTTCAAATCATCAAAAAGTACTCTGGCATCTGAGATGTGAGTCTGATCTAGGCACTTATCACATCTAGGCTTGACTACACCCTGCTTGTCGTGTCTTCTCCAGGCTTCCTGACCCCATCACCCCCACCCTCGCCCGGCTCCACTGGCTTCCCATCCCCCAGAGGATAGAGTTCAAAATCCTCATTTCAAGACCCTTCAAGGCCCTCCACGGCCTTGCCCCTCCTCATCTCTGTGACCAGCTTGGGTCTAAATCCCTGACTGTCCAGCGCCTTGGGATGTCCTCCCTACATGAAAGGCGCAATACAAATGTAATATTGTATTGATCTGAGTCTGGACCTTTGAATCCAGCACCATAGCTCCCTCAATGGATTAGTGGGTAAAGCCAGTACCTTCTACAGCATGGCCATGTAAGTCAGTTTGCTGATCTGAGCTAGGACAGCAATTGGGGTGCTACAATTCACCTCAGTTACCCTAGAGCATGAAGGTAAAATCAGTAACATGGACAGTTTACCAGAGGGTGACAGTAGAAAAAGCAAAATATTTTTTTGGAGCAAACAGGAAAAATTGGCAAAGATTGTTTTTAAACTACTGGATTGCATGTTACACTATGCTGCTGCCTTCTGGTGCTCTGACCAATCAACTCAGTCTGAAATATGAATCAGCAGGTCAACATTCATAAAGGAAAATCCATTTGTTGCTGAACCACAAGCAATGTTGAATATGTTATGTTTTATAAGTTTAGAATAAAGTACAAGTACGTGCTCTTTTTTGATATTATCCAGTAGGCACTCGGTAGTCGCAAGACTTGAGATCAATTCGTTTTCTGTGTTTTTCTGTCTCAGTTTATCAACAGCAAGATCTAGATGTGCTTCCTTTCTCTAAAAGAAAAAGTAAACAGAAAGTTTACTGAGAAAACAAATCCTGTTTTGTGAAAGTTGGAACATATTCCCATTGTACAAAAATAAGTAACAGCGGCAAATACACTGGAACAAAGGAAGTTAAGAGGGGATCTAGTAGAAGTCTTAAAAATTCTGAAAGGAATTTGAGGGTAAAATAATGAAAGATTATTTCCACAGGTTGGTAAATCTGTAATACCAGGGAAACAAGAGAGGCATAAATTCAAGATTATCATGAGAAAAATTAAGGGAACGTGGAAAAAATTACTACAAGTGGCTATTGAAGCTAACACCATAACAAAACATGTCCATGATTTCCAGCAGCTGTTGCCTCAAGCCTCAGAATTTCCTCATCAGCCTTCTGACAGACATCTGCCTTCAGTGTGGTGGGAGGACCTTACAGGAGGACCGTTTGTAACACCTTGAAGTTCTTGAGATCCAAGTCCAAGGCTGCGTAACAGGCTTACTCAGCACCAGCTGCTTAATGCAGGTCCTCGTGTGATGGTCCTTGACAAATAGACTTACCCACTGTGAAGCTGCAATGAAACTTACGCTGATTAGATGTCAATTAACTAACTAACCTTGGGGTGAAGTAAGCAGCAACTCCTTGGAAATGAAATGAAAACAGAAGTCGCTTGAAACACTCAGCAAGTTAGGCAGGAACTATACTGAAAGATCATCGACCTGAAACATTTTGTAAAAGAATGGAGAGGGAAAATAACACCAACTTGACAGCTCCTACCTGAATTTCCTCATCATGTAAGGCACGGCACTTGTCCAAGTTTTGTTTCAGTTCATCCTCCTGGCCCGTTAGGAGAGTCAGATGCACTTCCCATAGGTTGACTACTTTTTGGCAATATTGAAAGAACTTATTGCATCGAGTATTTACCCTCTTGGTTGCTTCCTCCATTTTTTGCTTTCAGTAGAAAACATAAAGAGGTTGCGTTAGATGGAGAGATTCCAATCCTATCTGGGAACATTCAAAACTTATTGCTTCCTCCTCACAGCTACTGGGGATAAGTGCAGCAAATTGTTATTGCCAGAAGCTGTGCCATAATAAATCTTCTGCGCACATGAGTTCATTATCCAGCCACACCACAGCCACAACACGCAATACGGTAGAAGATCAGCTGGCATATCATGTCATCTAATTTTTGAAGTCGCCCTTACTTAGTGCAAGTTGTTATTGTATTTATTAATCCTAGCTTTTCAACTTTTTCCCCATGATATCTTAATGATTTTTCTGCTCATGTAATTATCTCGGTCTCCTTTGAATTAACCTAATAATCCGGAATCAATAGTCATTTGTGGTAATGAATTTTACATTCAAATGATGCTGTTGTTATGAAGAAATTCCTTCCAATCTCCCTGAGTCTTCTGCTAATAAAGGAAATGGTTTTACATAGAATTGTTAAGCAGTGAAAGGGTTAATTGTACAAACTGGCCGATGTGGGTAATGAATGACACGAGTGGGAGGCCACTTGTAGTTAGTTAAGTAAAGAACTAAATGAACTGATCCAGTGCTTGTTGCCGACACAACATGGTGTCAGTAGCGGGATTCGGGACACACCAGGGAAAGTTTTTGTAGAAAGCAGATAACCAGAGGAGGAGAAGAAAGGGTAGAGAGAATAGAAGTATACTGAGTCTCATAGAACCATAGAAATTCACTCATTATGTCTGTGCCAGTTCCCTCAAAAGCAATCCTTTCAATCCCATTTACCTGCTCCTTTTCCCTCCATATGCCTACAGCTGACAATTCTTAAAATATTTGTCTAGTTCCCTTTTGAAAGCCAATATGGATGTTGCCTTAACCACCCACTACCAACAGGGCATTCCATATTCTAGCTACTCCGTGTGTGAAAAAAATCATCCTAACCTTCCATTTTGCTCACTTACTAACAATCTTAAATTGATACCCCCTAGTTGCTGACTCACCAACCAGTGGAAATAATGTCTCCCTATTGATTATCAAAATCCTTCATTATTTTAAAGACCTCGATCAGGTCGCCCTTCAACCTTCTTTGTTCCAACGGAAAAAGTCCCAGTTCCTCCAGTCTCCACTCATAGGTCAAACCACTCATCCTAGTAAATCTCGTAAATCTCTTTTGCACCTCCTCTATCTTGACGTCTTTCCTGTGTTCTGATGTTCCTAAAGTGGGGTTACCAGTCTAACTAACAATTTGCCTAAGTTTAGCATCACCTCTTTGCCCCTGTACACTTTATTTATAAAACCTAAGATTCCATTAGCTTTTTTCTCCTGCAAATGATTTAATAGAGGTGTTAAAAACGATGAGGGGTTTTGATGAGTAGATACGGAGAAACTGTTTCCTCTGGTGGTCGGTAACCAGAGCACAAGGATTTAAGATAATGGCAAAAGAACTAGAAGGGAGATGGGGAGAAAGTTTTTTTACCCTGAGAGTTGTTGCAGTTTGGAATCCTCTGCCTGAAAGGCTGGTAGAAGCAGATTCTATAACAGCTTTCAATGGGGAATTGGTTAGGTACTAAAAAAGGAAAAAATTGCAGGGCTATGGAGTAAGAGCAGGGGAAGGACTAGTGGGTAGCTCTTTCAAAGAGCCGGCACAGGCACAATGGGGCCGAATGGCCTCCTTTTGTAAGATTCTACGAATGCATTAATGTTACCAGCTGGTAAAAGAACGACATGAACTTACATCCATGGTCCATTGTTCTTCCTCAAATTTCCGTTGCGAAGCCCCAATCTTTGGAAAGAATTCTGAAATAATCAATTCTTCGTTTTCTTCTGGTGAACATATATTTGCCTGCAACATTTTCTGCTAAAACATGAAATACATTGTCCATTAGAAGGAATACTGCAAGATACAACACTGTAAACTCCAGTTTGACAGTTCCAAACATGCCTCGAGAAAGCATGTGGGATAAGATTTTTTCAGTGTTCAGAAATTCCCATTTGAAGTGCTTGCTGCTGAAGTCAGTAAATTTTCAAATGGTATAAATTTACCCCCAACTGAAATTATCTTGAGGTGCGTATACAGAGTTGAATAAATCATTTTCAGGTTTAAATACCACCTATACGATATTCATCTACACATGGAAATTCCAGAGATAAATTGTTGGAATCGAATGTGCATTCTCTCCCTGGAGGGATGCATCCAGCTTACCTAATTCCAGAAGGAATCAGTGACCTCTGCTAGAAAGTGTTCACTTGTGGACATCAGATGAGGACAGGATCAGAGCTGTGATTTTGCCCTCTCCGCTCCTCCCCAGTTGACAACCCTGACAAATACTGATTGTCAGCTCACACGTGAAGAATGGTTAAAGACCCATAAAGTTGGCTTTTACTAGTTCTTTTCATTGAAAATACACTCAATACAGTGCAAGTTCATTGGTAAAAAAATGATTTTCATTCATATTTAATTATTAAAACATATCAGCTGACATTTTTGAGTGTCTATGATTTTTTTTGAACACTTCCCATCTGCCTCACTGCATTGCTGGAACTGGATTATAGTCTCTCACTCTCTCTTTCTCTCTATTTCTCTCTCCCTGCCTCTGCCTGTATTTGTTTTCGATTGTTTGTGGGACACTGCTGTGCGCAATTGACTGCTGCGTTTCGCCCCAAAAATACACAGTCGCTACACTTTACAGTATATCCTGTGAAGTGCTTTGAGACGTCTCGACAACGTGATAAGGCGCAATATCAAATGCAAGGATTATTATTATTATTATAGCAGTATCAACAATATCCACCTACCTTCCATTTTTCAATTTCTTCCATCCATTGTCGATATACTTTTTCAAAATATGTTTGAAATTGCTGGATAAATGCTGAATTCAGTAATTCTACAAAAGAGAAATTTGAAGAACATGTTGTTAGCGCCTTGGGACGTCCTCCCGACGTGAAAGGCGCTATACAAATGTAATTTGTTGTTGTTGTTATAGGTTTGGGAATTCTGCTCCCTTTGGTGGAATGTCACAGTGAAGTGAAGATACCACATGGTCGTGTGTAATTATTATGAATTATTATTATTTTATAGAGAGGTGATGTGAAAATGCATTTGAAATTGTAGAAATTCTTCAGTGCTGAAGCCGATTCCCAATCCTGAGATATTTTCAAATGGTATATATATTCGTGAATTTGCAGCGTTTTGTGATGGTGGTGATATCATGGCTAAGGGATCTGCAAACTCGTCAGAATGGAACATCACTGTAAATTAATTCTACCACGTGGGTACTAGGAATGCCTCGCCAACTGTAAGAATGCTAAGCTGAACTGGCTTCAAGGTGACCTGCCTGGCAACAGAGCATTCAAATTGAGCCCACCCTCTGTGGCAGTCTCGGTAGACCGTTTCCTGAGCCAGGCGGGTCCGCAGTATTCCAGGGTACTGCTAATGACAGCCCTGCCAGCCTGGAAGGGCAGACCAGTCACTGAGGGTAGGGTGTCATCCCACTCAGCTCCTGTGTTAACCCTGCAAGCTGAAGCCCTAACGGGTAGGGTGGTCCTAGCTGGACAAGCAGCGAGAAAATTTGCCGAAAAGCAACATCATTGGCAAGCTTTGTGGTTTTAGCTGGTTACACTCCAGGGGTAGCCCAAAGCACACTCTGGGTTCACCTTGGGTCTGAGCTGTTTCCAAGAACGCAATGGCAGAACTGAATCAACCCTCTATTGTGGCCTATAGTGTGGTGCCCAGAATTGGACCAATAATCAAAGCACAAAACTTACCACCACTTGCAGCATCAGCCTCTTGATTACTCTGTTTATGTTAATCATAATGTACTCACCTATTTTCTCATTTAGAATCTTGATCAAAGTGTGTTTCTGGATGACTGTGACTTTACTAAACGTAGGAGGAATCATGTTACTGCAGAAGAAAGCACACGAGAAACCAATGACATACAGAAATTTGTTCCAAATAAATCTAAGAATTGTGAATCTAGATTCAATCGAAACAAAGGTGCTTTGCATTTAGCACATCACCTGCTATTTTGTTCTTACTCCTATCCTTTATCTAGTAATGTATTGAATTATTTTAATAAGATGCTGCCTTAAAATTGCTTACTGGTCCCATTATGATTCATACAATACAACGGACACTAAATTCTTTTTTTTCAGCACGCTGAACCGAGGGTTATTTTACCTTCAATGTGGGTTATTTTACATTAACTTTCATTATGATGGGAAATCACAATATACAGCAAAAGCATCGAGAAAAGATTGCCCTTTTTACTCATCAACGTACATTTGAATCAGGTTAATAGATGTAGAGCAGAAGCCAGGTAGATGCCCATGTTTACCCAGGACTTTGTTTCTCTGTGTATTGATTGGACCAGCTCTCCAGCCTGTGCTATCAGTGTGTGAGATGCTCAGCAATGAAATACTATGGAATAAGATATTCGATTTCTAAATAATACTCCTTGCCTTTGATATGGTGACATCAGGCTGGAGAAAACTTTCAAAGCGCTTCACAGAAGTTACTGTTGTGTGTAGTGTCTTCACATTGGGAGGATGTCTCAAAGTGCTTCACGAGCCGACAGGGAGCCTATAAATGGGGCTGTGAGGATCTGAGGAATGGAGAGGGGTGGGAGCGATGTCAAAAATGAAATTGAAAAGATCTTAAGGCGGGCTTTGAAGGTGGAGATGGAGAGGGGGGAGTCAGAGGGACTCCGGAATAGAGTTCCAAAGAGCAGAACAGAATGGCTGAAAGCTTGCTCTCTGATGGTGGAGCGGAACAGGCAGGAAATATGAAGCAGGTCAGTCAGAGAGTGTGGCTGGGGCAGTAGGGTTTCAGAAGGACACAGATCACATGAGGCTAAAGTGGAACAGAGTGGACTGATAGACTTGCAGAGTCTTGTGTGGGAGCGGACATGGACTGCAGAATTGTGGATAGTCTGTAGCTCGTGGAGGAGGAGCTGGGTAGTCCAGGAAGCAAAACATTTGAATAGTCCATCTAGCCTGAATGTGATGAAAATCTGAATAAGAATTTTACAACCTGTGGGGAAAGGTAGTGAAGGAGGCAGGCAATGTTCAGATATACAACAACATGCATTTATATAGCACTGGAATCTATGCAGATTGATACGGTCAGTGCTTGAAATGAGAAAGCATCGAGCAGGAGAGCCCCAATCCTGCACATGTTTAGCTGAAGAAAGTTAGAGCTCATCCAGAGCTTGATATCCGACTATTGACTATTTTATGTTTATTTGTTATGTGACTCAGCATTTTAGACTGGTCCTCTTTAAAATGGAAGGCATTCCTGTTCCAGTGGAGAAAAGATTGAACGTGTGGTGTTAAATTGCCTCTATTCGCTCCACAGTTTGCGAGGATCTGATATATCACCAGCAGCTCCTAGTATCTTACTGAATCTATAGTACCGTTCTCTTCAATCCTTCAAGAGAATAACATTTTTACAATCTGGAACACAAATAGTTTTGGTAAACATACCCCAGACTCTCTAGAATTTCAATCCGTGTGTCGTTCAGTGACTTCTGTTCTTCATTGAACAAAGTTTGGTTTGGTGTAAATTCAAGACCCCAATCCTTCCCTACATAATCTCTGTCAAAACAAATCATTAAACCAAATCAGCCCAGTTGAACATTTCATTCATTCAATCTTCAAAAATATGCAATTTGAAATACTCAAGATCATTTACTGTTACCTAAAGCTATACTAATTCCTGCAATTATGCCTCTAGAAAACATGAGGGCTTTCCAAGACTTTGAATTACACCCACAAACATTTTTCTTTGGCCGGGCAGGAGTCTAATAAGTGCGGAAACCCTTGTCCTTATGTTTTGCAGTGTGCAATTTCTCCTCTGCTTTGCTATGCCTAAAAACTCAGCTATAGGTAACACAAGATAAGAGAGTACAAGGTGTGCATTAATAATAATAATAATAATCCTTACAGTTGCTATTATGCCTTTCATGTTAGAAGGACATCTCAAAGCACTTCACAGGATATACTGTAAAGTGGAATGACTGTATTGTGTGGGTGAATGCGGCTGCCAATTTGCACACAGCCATGTTCCACAAACAGCCGTGAATCGAAGGACCAACTTTAATTGGTGGATCATTGGCCAGGATCAATGAGAAATGAAGAATAAAATAAAAAAAGGTATCGCCTCACTGATGGAATTGAACCAGCTAAAATCATTGAGCTAACAACAACAACAACAACGACGACAACAACAAACAAAGTACCAGGCACTGGTCAACTTCCTGCATCCTACTGCTTGTCCACCTTAGGGTGTTGACTTGAATTACAACATGTTGAATTACATGTTGCACCATGCAATTAGGGGGAGAATAGTTCAGTGCCCACCGGTGTGTTGAACCATGTGAACTTGTCGTTCGAGGGGGAAGTTGGGCAAAATGCAAAACCTGCTGGTGATAAGACTCTGGCTACACATCAGAATGCCATGCATCAAAGGCAAGGATAATTATTACAACGTTTATCTGTACGAATTTCAATCCTCTGGTGTAACTCACGTGAATTTCTGAATAATTCTGTCTCTCTCAATGACTTTCATTTCATCTTCTTTATACTTCCACTGCAAACGATCCGACATTTCCATTGATAGTCCAGACTCAATCAGATTAACATACAGTTTATACAAGGCTCTCTGATTCGCCAGCAAGGCCTGGTTGATCATCTGTGCCGTACAAAACAGAATGACAACAATTTCCAATTATATAGTGCATTTCACAAAGGCTAGAGTCTCAGAGCTCTTAACAGTAGTGGAGCCTGACACCAAGCTAGGGAAAGAGGTGAGGTGACCATAGGCACATCAAAGAGGAATGTCTTCAGGTGCAATCTGCAAATGGACAAGGAAGGGGCAAGACAGAGTGATTGAAGCAGAGTTCCAGAGATTCGGTGCATAGTGGCTGAAAGCAAGGCTGCCGTTGGTGAAGTATAGGAGACGGGGAATGTCCAGAAGGCTGGAGCCAGCTGAACAAAGCGGGTGGATAGAGGAGTGAGGTGGAAGCAAGTTGGAGAGGGAGGGAGGTGGCAGGAAATGAAGACATTTATAAACGAGTGTGAGTGTAATAAATATACATTTGCAAAAGGGAACCAGATGCTTGAGCTGTGGGCTCCATTCCTTGCTGAGCTGGTCAACCATGAGACAAGTGAGCATGTGGGAGTCAATGGGCATTGTTCAGTTTTCAAAGGGCTGTTGAGAAACTGATTTCAATGGCCCAGCAACCACCAATTCACAACTCTGGTTCAAATGTCCCCACAGACAAAACACCTTCCGCCTGCTCGAAGGAAATCAGAGAAACAACCATTGTCGTTTCCAACTGAAACTCCGGTGAATGGCCCCAGGCCTCAAACTGCACTCCAGCAATCCTCACCCATTCCCAATAATGTACTGTCTTTGTTGCATTGGGCGTCCTTCGTACTTCTGCTTAGTGTCGGGGGATGGAAAGGGGAGAGGGCTATAAAGAGGAAAGTGCGGGGAGAGGAAGAAAGGAGATTGCTTAGGGGAGTTTGCTCTGAAAATGGGAGACTCAAGATCTATGAACTGTAGCAGCCAAACGAAGATCCATAACATCTCCAATTGTTACAATTATTCTCGTTCTTAACAGCACTTGTATCAAAGATGCACTGTAAATCCTACGAGGTCTTTGAGTATCAGTGGATTCTGTTGATTAAAATTCAGTGAAAAAATGAGTCAATCTCCTAATTACATCAGCCTCTGATTTAGACTGTGACTGTGACTTCTTTTTAAGAAGGTGCTCACTTCTGTAGCGTCAATAGGAGGGGGGATGATGACATCGGTTTTGAGGGGGAACGGGTTGGTACGGGAGATGAGGGAAAGGTTAACTTTGTCCGCCAACATGGGGCAGAGGAGAGCCTGTTGGATGGTCAAAAGCTCGGTGCGGAGGGGGTCGAGGCAGCAGATGGTGGGCTTCATATGAATGATGATGGTTGTGAGGCACAATAATAATAATATAATAATCTTTGTATTTGATATAGCACCTTATCACGTCTTTGAGATAGTTCAAAGTGTTTCACAGAGTATACTATAAAGTGAATTGACTGTATATTTTGTGGGCAAAAAGTGGGATGAGCGAGAGATGGGGGCAAAGGTGTGTAGGGTGGGGACAATGATTGGAACAGTAGCAGAAGATGTGGGTGATGCAGAGGACAAGTGAAGCCAAGCAATTTTCGAAGAGATCCAGAGGACAGGCAAATTCTAGGGATCAGGAGAGTGGATGAACGGGGTCGGAAGAGACGAGGGAGCAGGGCAGCATGTAGAGATGGAAAAGTTGCACAGAATTGATGGAGCAACAACAGATATGAAAAAAACAATTATTTTGTGCTTACCATGGCTTCTTTGTCTATATAACGATGAACATCAGGCTTCATTAAGTAGGAAATCTTCTCCATAGTGATGGTGCACTCTTTAAGTGCATCAGTAGACTGGATCAAAGGTATTGTTCAAATAGAAGAAAATTTAAAATCAACCAAATTATTGTAAGAAGGATGTGACAAAACTATTTTTTGTGCATTGTTATAGAACTTGAAGATGGTTTAATATTAAATATTTAGCATCTGAGGGTACAAATAGTAGCATAAAGCAAACCAGAATCAGGCAAGAATTAAATTGTGTTCCAAATGAAACATTTTTGGGTATCTGACACATGAGGAAACCCGTCATTCTTAAGAGTATCCAAACCAAACTGAGAATTCTATGCAACTAACCTACTCATAAAAATTTCAGAGCTAGATTGTTAGAATGAAATGCGCACTTTTTCTCTGCAGTAAAACACAAGTTTCACTGCAGGGGTTCAAATGTACAACCTCATCTTCTGACCCAGAGACAATGCACAACTAAGCAAACCCAAATTGGCATTAATGAGATAAGAGAGTGAGTCCACAATAATATATACACATACAGAGTGGAGAAAAACAAGCAAAAGCATGAAAAGTACTTCCTACCCGCTTCACTCTTTCTTCTTCAAACTTCTGGTAGCTTTCAAAAAGTTTTTTGATCCCCACATTCCTTTTCTGTGACAGATTACTAATATTGTCCCCTATGGTATTCAATTCCTACAAACAGGTGTAAAGGTAATAATAGTCCTTGCATTTGATGTAACGCTTTTCACGTCTTCTAGACGTCTCAAAGCGCTCGACAAAATATACTGTAAAGTGAAATGACTGTGTATTTTGTGGGCGAAACGTGGCAGCCAGTTGCACTCAGCAGTGTGCCACAAACAGTTGTGGATTGAGTGACCAAATTTTTATTGTTCTTTTTTTTCTTGAGGGATTATTATCAGGTGCGTAGAGTAAGGAAACTTGCCCAAGGTTTTGCCATGCCGGAAATCAAACTCAGGTCTCTCGCTTGTGAGGCAAGTGCTCTCACCACTGAGCTACAGGACTCCAGATTGATAATGAAGTGTATTAGATTTACAAAGACAAATGGCACAACAGCAATGCAGTGTTGGAATTTCAATAGTTGGTACTAATATATCTTCTCCTGTAATTCCTCATTTGGTAACTTGTCATTGATTACCAAATGATTGCTGATGGTTATCAAGTTATGACAGATCATTAATTTCGAGAGAAAATCTCTGAGTTGATCTTATGTGTATATATTCTGCTGTACATATACATAGAATCATAGAATTATACAGCACAGAAGAAGGACATTCTTTGAAAAGAGCTACCCAAATCAATCCCACTCCCCCGCTCTCTCCCCACAGCCCTGCAAACATGTCCTCCCCAAATAATTATCTACTTCTCTCTTAAAGGCTGTTATCAAATCGGCTTCCATCACACTTTCCGACAATGCATTCCAGATCTGAATAACTCACTGTGTGAAAAAACTTCTCATCACCTCCTCTCTGTTTCTTTTAACAACTATTTTAAATCGGTGTCCTCGGGTTACCGACCCACCCGCCAGTGGAAATGATTTCTCCTTGTTCACTCTATCAAATCCCTTCATAATTTTTGAAAACTTCTATTAAGTCTCCTTTTAACCTTCTCTGCTCCAAGGAGAATTATCCTAGCAGGATATAATAATAATAATAATAATCCTTGCATTTGATATAGCCCCTTATCTTGTCTTCAAGACATCTCAAAGCGCTTCACAGAATATATTGTAAAGTGATTTTGTAAGACTTTGTGTTACATTAGCTAATTAGATTCTATCTCTGCTTAATTAATAACCTGAATTTAAATTTATTTGTGGGACTTAAGTCATTTACAGAAGTATTATTGTATATGTTTTTGTTTACTGAATTATTATTCATTGTTATCAAATATCAAAACCTTCCAGGCATCTCTTATCCGAGCTTTCCTATGCAAGGCATTGCACAAAACGTGTAATGAAATTGCTACCTTTTAAACTGTATTAAAAACAATTTACCTGAAGTTCTGTTGTGCCCAAATCACCGTTTTCTATCTCTGAAAACAGTTCCTGAGTTCTCTGTCGAGACTCCTCCACCTGCTGGTGTAGATTGTCTCCAGCTTCCAAATACAACTGCTCCAATTCCTAATGAAGTCACACAAAAAGTATTAAATAGTGAACAATCTCCATGGTGGTCGCAGATAATACGGTTTGTGCCAGAGAAACAACAAAGATTTACAAAGAATACACAGCCCAGAAACAGTCCTGGCCGATTATCCTCCCATGGCTGTTTGTAGGACATTGCTGTTTGTGGACGTCCTCCCGACGTGAAAGGTGCTACACAAATGTAATTTTGTATTGTATATTGCTGTATGCAATTTGGCTGCTGCATTCACCCACCAAATGTACAGTCACACCATTTTATAATATATTTTGAGACGTTTGATACAGTGATAAGGTGCTAAATCAAATGTAAGGATTATTATTATATATTATTATAGTAACGTGGGATCTTTAATATCCACATGAACAGACAGACGGAAACATTGGTACCTCTCACAATGCAACGCACCCTCAGCAATGCATTGGAGTGATTATGTCTTCATTCACATAGACTATGTGAGTTCACGTCTAGAATTGGGGCTTAAACCCTCCTCGACCACTCCGCCGCCTTTGACACCGTGGACCACTCAATCCTCCGCCACCGTCTCTCCTCTCACCTCAACCTTCAAGGTTCTGTCCTTGACTGGTTCAGATCCTACCTTTCTCATCGCCTCCACTTCGTTGCGGCAAACGGTTTCTCCTCTAGCCCCCGCACCGTCTCGTGCGGTGTTCCTCAGGGCGCTGTCCTTAGTCCCCTCCTCTTCACCCTCTACATGCTCCCCCTTGGTGACATCGTCCGCAGACATGGGGTAAATTTCCACATATATGCGGATGACACCCAACTCTACCTCTCTGCCTCCACCCTGAACTCCAGGACTACTGGCGTCCTGACCCGACTGCCTGTCCGACATCAAGTCCTGGACGAGGGCCAACTTTCTCCAACTCAATATCAGCAAGACCGAGGCCTTCCTGAATGGCTCGCGCCAACGCCTCTGCAACTCAGGCGCTGGCAGCATCAGCCTCCACGGCTGCACACTCAACCTCACTAAGCCAGTTAGGAACCTGGGTATCCTGAACTGTCCTTTCTCCCCCTCATCCGCGCCATGACCGGCACTGCCTACCACCACCTCCGCAACATCGCCAAACTCCGCCACTGCCTCACCCCTCAGGCTGCCCAAACCCTCACCCACGCATTCATCACATCAAGGCTCGATTAATGGAAATTCCCTCCTCATCGGCCTTCCAACTCTTCCCTTCACAAGCTGCAGATCATCCAAAACTCTGCAGCTCATGTACTCTCATGCACCAGGCTCCGCGACCCCATCACTCCCACCCTCACCCGACTCCACTGGCTCCCCATCCCCCAGCGGGTCGAGTTCAAGATCCTCATCCTCACCTTTAAGGCCATCCATGGCCTTGCCCCCTCCTACCTATCTGACCTGCTGACTCCCTACCAACCTGCCCGCTCCCTCCGTTCAGTGGGCTCCGGCCTGCTCCATGTCTCCCGCCCAACCCGCCCTACCATCGGTGGCCAGGCTTTCAGCCTCTCTGCCCCCACATTCTGGAATGCCATCCCACGGTCCCTTCGCCTCACTTCCTCCCTTGCCTCCTTCAAGGCCGTTCTCAAGACCCTTCTCTTCGACCGTGCCTTTGGTCTCCCTCCCACCTCTCTGCCTTCCCTTACCCCTACACCATGTCATTGTCATTTTGTTGTTGTTGTTGTTGTTGAACCCAAAATATTCTGACCCAGATGTGAGAGTGCTACCACTGAGCCATGCTGACACCTGATAAGGCACTATATTAAATGCAATGATTATTATTAGCAGTTTGGGTTTTTGCTCAAGTGACACATTATAACTTCAAGTCACACGGATGAGCCAGACTGGTCAACCACACTTCAGATTAATTTGCACCCGTCTGTCATATCTGAAAGACCCTGTTTACCTTGCCCTCTGCTACCAGAAGATATCATCAAACATGATGCTCATTTTATTGATTAAGAAGCAGAGCTGAATGGTCTGGAATCTGATAGACTAGCGTAGAGAGTGGAAATGTTATACCTTGTACTGCAACTAAAACCTGGGAGCATTGTGAAAAGTAAGAGGAGGTTTTGCTACAGCGAAGCTTTACAGTACCACAGACCAAACGTATTTATTGCAGTATAAGGTTAAACATTTTTTCTATCATACCTCACTAATTATAGCCAGTTCTTCATATAACTTTGCTTCCGCTGCCAGGTGTTGTTCCTGTTTATTCTCAGAGATCATTTGGATAAGATTCCCACCTATTTTTCCAGAAACTGTGGTATAAAAAAAATTGTTTACAAATGCATGTTGAAGTCATTTCATATGTGACATCCTTCATCAAACTTTCTGGTAACTGCCATTGCACAATAAGGCAGGTTGGATTGGAAAGGTCGCAAAGGGGATAGAGGAATGGTTTAACAGAGAGGGGGATCTGAAGGAGAGTTTTCCAATTAATTGAATGATGTGCTACAGGGATCAGTGTTAGACTTCCCTTGCTCTCACTAAATATATATACAATATATCAATGATCATGGATGCAGGCATTGGGGGAATACTATCTAAATTTGCACTAAATTAGGAGATGCAATTAAAACTGAAGATGAATACAGGAGGCTCCAGGCAGATATTCACAGGTCAGTGGTCGGCAAATTTGTGTAAAATGAAGTTCAATACAAAAAAATGTGAGGTGGTGGATTTGGGGATAAAGAATAGGGAACAGAATTATGCCCTGAGTGATGGAATTCTTAGGAACAGAGTGATCTGGAGATTCACATACGTAGATCATTGTGATTGCAGGTAGCGAAGACTGTGAAAAGACTCAACAGGATTCTAGATTTTGTAAACAGAACCATTGAAAAGTAAGCAACTGATGATGAATGTGTGGTTTAGCTGTAGCTGGAATACTGTGTGCAGTGTGGTGAGAGCGATGAAGTAGGTTCACAAGAATGACAACAACAACCACAAATGACAGTAGAGGTGGAAGGATATAGCTATGTGGACAGGCTGAAGAGGTTAGGGCTCTTGCTGTTGAGAAAGTTGAGGAGAATTGAGGTGATCGAGGTGTTTAAAATAATGAAAGGGTTTGAGAGAATTAATCATGAAAAACTCTTTCCACTGGTCAGGGATTTACAATTCAACAATTCACATTTATACAGCATCCTTCACATGGGATAGCATCTAAGACCCCTGAATACAATATAAGTACATTTATATAACGGTTTTCATATCTGGATAATGACTCAAAGTGTTTGTGTCAGTGGGGTAAACAGATTTTGTGATATCAGAACATGTTCCAAATAGATACTTACCCACATCATTTGGAAGAGCAACAACATCCTCTGTTTGGCTCAGCCAACTTGCAGATTCAACAGATTGCTCATCTTCTTTCAAACGTCTGAATAAAACAAAAAATGATCTTGTATTGAAATTGAATTCATTTATTTTTCAGAGAATTCTTCTGCTTAAATATGGTGTTAGCCGTTCATGGACCAATTGCTGACTTGAAATTATCAATATCTTTAGAAGTAAGAGTTGAACGTTCCCGTAAAATTAAATGCTATGGTTATTATTTGCGGTGGTCCATCTAAATTATTTATAACTATAAGAACAATAACAACACATTTGCTTTCATATTGTGTGTATGGACGTGCACAAGCACTCAGCAGTAGTCTATCCCAGGGGAGGCAATAGGGAGGAGGAATCATTATTCAAGACTGAGATTGACAGATTTCTTGTGGATAAAGGGATTAAGGGATATGGGGACAAAGCGGGTAGGTGGGTTAGAATAGATCAGCCATGATATTATTGAATGGCGGGGCAGGCTAGAGGGGCCGAATGGCCTACTCCTGCTCCTAATTCTTATGTTCTTATGTTGCCCCTTCCCTTTTGACACCCATCCTTTTTGCTCACTTCTTCGCTTCTTTTTCACCTACATTTGACTCTCCTCCTTCAGGGAGAGAAAAGTGGAGTGTCCAGTATCTTCTCTTGCTGTGTTTACAACCCAGCTTTGAAGATGAAGGACAAGTTTGAGATAGACCGGAAGCTTGCGAAATTTGAAGGATCAAGTTTTTTTGAAGAGGGAGGTTTTGAAGGAGAGTGGGACGGTGTGACAAGAGGAATCAGATGTTGTTTAGTTTAGATATGAAGAAGGTGAGGATGTAAGGAGCTACAAGAGGTGAGTGGGGAGCTGATGTGAGGTGGAGAACAGAAGCTTGGAATTATTTTTGGCCTCCACGATGGCCTGTGAGTAGAATGCGATTTCGATCAAGTGAGGGAGAAGATGTTCGAGCCAGATCTGGCAGTGAATTGTGAGGGGCATTATGTTTAATCAAAGACAACATTGAGTTTTATTGCAAAATATTACACTCCCATGCATAGTTACTTGTACACCACTGGATTTTCAGTTTCATTATCATTTTGCATTCCCTCCGCCCATGAACGCTGACGTCGGGTGAGGAATCCTTCGCTTTTGTCAACAGCTCTGACGACGGGAATCTTGGCATATTCAGAGCCAACTTCACGGTGCAAGGATTTCCTTCTTACTTCCCCCAATGTGCAGACAAGCTGGACCTTTAGAAGCAGATTATAGATTTAAAATGTATTTGAAGTTTACTTATGTACCTACCATTATGTTAACCACTAATCAGTTATCTCAACTAATGATAATTTAAAGATTTTTTTTAAAAAAATTCTCCCCTCTGGACATGAAGGTGCTCTGCTTGTATAATTGCATAGGCACTGGCCACCTCTGGTACCTCACACAATTGACTGTTCCTCATGGAGTGTAGCTTGGCAGTGAGGACCGGGAGACTTTTCAACCACACAAGCACCACAGTTTGGACAAGATAAAATCTGCGTAATGGGCTGGCCATGAATTACTGTCAATTTCTTTAGTTTTGCCTAACTACCTTCCCCTCAAGGAAGACTTTTTGTTTAGAAATTTTATTCATTTTGTCAACCTCAAAAGGGCTAATTCAAACCCAAAACATTCTGGCCCAATGAATCCCAATGAACTAAGCTGCCAAAAGGGAGAAGTCAGGCAACAAAATACTGAATAGATTATGGAGCATAATGAATATTACAACAACAACAACAAAATTACATTTGTATAGCGCTTTCGGGAGGACATCCCAAGGCGCTGGACAATCAGTGTTTCAGACCAAAACACTGCACCAAAAACAGCAAAAAGAAAGACTATCTTATACAACACTTTGTTGAATGAGTCAAGTTAGAATAGATGTAGGTCATATTGTCTTTACCTCGGCATCAAAGATTTGCCTGTAGACTTTTCCGCTTGGTACAATCCGAACTTCACCCATGGTGGTCCTTTTAGTTCTTTGCAATGAATGGCAGTCAGGCACGGAAGCAAATTGTCAAAGCTGCTCTAAACACAAACTAGAAAAGGCACATCACTGTAAGAGACCAGATTCATTTTCAACTGTTTGTACACATTTATAAGAGGAAGGGATGATTGCATAAAAGGCTATCAGAATGCCAGCATAACAATTATATGTATATTGCAATAATAATAATCCTTGCATTTTTGATGTAGTGCTTTTCACATCGGGAGGACATCCCAAAGTGCTTCACAGAACACACTGTAAAGTGAATAACGAAGTGTATATTTGTGGGCGAACGCGGCAACCAATTGCTCACAGCAATGTCTCACAAACAGTCGTAGATTGAAAATGACCAATTTATTATTGTTTTGGGTTTTGGAGGGATTATTATTAGGCTCTGTGTGGAGTAAGGAAACTTGCCCAAGGTTTCGCCCTGCCTGGAATTGAACTCAGGTCTCTCGCTTGCAAAGCGAGTGCTCTAACCACTGAGCTACAGGACTCCATAATCTTGATATCGTCCACGATAAGTTTCAAAATCAACCATTTTATCAATAATGCATTCACTTTTAAATGATCCTCTGCAGACACAAAGGATTAAAGAAATGACATCACATAAGACCATTTAGCCTACTGACCCTCGCTCGTGTGAATTCCTCGACTGGAGCTGTCTATTTTATTTCCTTTAGAGACATCCACTCTAATTACAATTCCCTGCTCTTTCCCTGTGCCAGGTGGACAAAGTTGTCAAGAAAGCAAACAGAATCTTAAGTTTTGTAAATAGGGGTGCAGAATAATAAATAAAAGAGGAGCTTAGGTGCATTGTTTTCATGCCCAGAGTATGTGGACATGGAACACCCTTCTGTGAGCGGTAGTTGAAGCAGAATACGTATTAGGTTTCAAGAGAGAACGAGATAAACAACTTGCATTTTATACTGTGCCCTTCACGTGGGATGACATCTTGGGAGGTGCTGAAATCTCATCAAGTTCATCAAGTTCGGAACCGTAAAGGAAAATGGACACAGATTTCGTAATGCCACAACTTTGACCTGTTTTCCTTGAAGAGAGAGACGAGCGAGACGTGTGTCACTCTGGCTCGGCGGTAGGCGGCACTCTCGCCTCCCGAGTCAGAAGGTTGCGCGCGTGGTCTAAGCCGACGCGCCAAGGCAGCGGTGGGGCAGTGGGGCGCTGTGGGGAGGGTGCTGAAAGCCGCGGTCCGCTTTGCCTATTCCGGAGGGGGTTGAGGAGCCCGTGGCACGGTTCGGAAGGGCGGCCGCGTTTCGTCCACGAGGCGCGCGTTCACTGCGCCGCGCGGCGCATCCCGCGAACCACTTTGAGGGAGTCCACGGGCAACGTGATAAAACGCCGCACCAATTGCAAGGAGTGTCCGATTGGGGGCTCGCCCCGGGTGGGGGGGTGGGGGGGGTGGGGGGGTGGGTGGGGTAGGCCTCCGGGTTCTTTACAATGGGGCACGGGTCCGGATGACACAAAAACTCCAATTCATAAATATATATATATATATAACATTCACGTTTTCTTTCAAAAAAAATGAATCGCTCTTTAAACTCACCCCGAACTGCCCTCTGAGCAGCAGTGACGACATCGCTGTGCGTGGGGACCAGACGTTGCTAGGCTGCAGGCGCTGCCACGGCAACGGCTCCAGTCGTGGTGTCGTCACATCCGGTGGCTCTGACCCGGGGGGGGGGGGGGGGAGAGGTGCTGGTTGGCGGAGAGGCGGAGATAGTTGCCGAGGGGGCGGAGCTGGAGGTGCCGGGGGGGGGGGCGGGGGCGGGGAGGCGGGACTGGTTGCTGGGGGGCGCGGCTAGTTACCGAGGGGCGGGGCTGGTTGCTGGGGGGCGGGGCTGGTTGCTGGGGGGCGGGGCTGGCGCGGGGGGGCGGGGCTGGCGCCGAGGCTGATGGCGGGCCCGGTGAGTGAGGTGCTGCAGGCGCTGTCGGAGCGGGAGCGGGAAGGCGCGGAGCCGCTGGCGGAGCTGCACAGGCTGCGGGCGCTGCTGTTGGCGCTGCCGCTGCCCTCGGTGCGGGAGCTGACGAGCGTCCTGCAGTTCGCGGTTATTTTCAACCTCCTGAACAGCGAGCACAGGTCAGTCAGTGCCCGCGGCCTCCCGTCACCGCAGCGGGACCGCAGCGCCAACCCGGGCCCGGGGCCCGGACTCAGGCCTGAGCCCGGCGCCTGGTCTCGGGGCTGAGGCCCTGACGGGGAATGGCCGCGAATTATTTGAGCTTTTAACTATATATTTCTGTATAAATATTATTTATGCATAAACGTCTAAATATATTTGTTTATATATAAATATACAGTTTCATCATTTGAGCTTTTAACTATATATCACTGCGTATTTATATGTTATATGTGTATATATGAGGGTAATAATCCCTTCAAAACAATAATAAATTGGTCACTTCAATCCAGGACCGTGTGCGGAGACGCTGCTGCGCGCGATTTGGCTGCTGCGTTTCGCCCACAAAACGCACAGTCACTACACTTTGCAGCATATTCTGTGAAAGCGCTGGGAGGCGTCTCGAAGGTTATTCTTCTTCCTACTAAACGGAGCCTCGGTCACACCCGATCTGCAGCACTGCGTCCTGTTTTGGGCAGCGCATCGATACATTGGCACCTGGAGGGGATGCAACGCGGCTTCACCAGAAAGACACCAGGGCTGAAAGGATTACGTTACGAGGACGGGTTGCACAAACTTGGTCTGTAAGTGCCCCGAGATGCCGTCCGGCATGAAGGGCGCTGTACAAATGCAAGTTGTTTACCCCCGAAAAACATTGGTTGCCGCATTCGCCCATAAAACACAGTTACACCACTTTACAGCATAACCTGTGAAGCGCTTTGAGACGTCTCAATGCCGTGACCAAGCAGCTGTTTTAAATGCAGTGATTATTATATCCCACGTGGTTTGGTTTCTCTCAAGCATAGTGATGGGTTTCTGCGTGTGTCAAGACACTCTAAAATATCCTTTCAAAACCTTCATTTATTTGCCTCCGTTTTAATGCTGAGTCTTCTTTCACTTCGTCAGGGAGCAGATTGAGGTGTGCGTTTCCATTCTCGAGCGACTTCTGCAGGCTGTGGAACCACTTTATTTGGCTCAGAACTTCAAAGAGCAACTCCAGAATGGACTTCAACACCCAGATGACAGTGTTCAAATCCTTGCTTTGTCCCAGGTAAGGTTGAACATTGAAATTCCCCCTGTGTCTGGAATGGAATGAGCACTCTCTCCAGTGGGATGCACCCTGAAAATATTTGGCAAAGGTTAGCAAGAGCCAAACCTTTGGAATCTGACCGGCTTCAACAATCTCTGGCTCAATTAATATTATTGGTAATCGACTGAGGTGGATAGATATTTGTTAGGTCAGGGTATTAAGGGATACGGAGCAAGGGCAGGTAATTGGACTTCAGGTACAGATCAGCCACGATCTTATAGAATGGTGGAACAGGCTCAAGGGGCTGAATGGCCTACTCCTGTTTCTATGCTGTGCAGCTGTAAAACTGGAGTGTGTATGGAAATGTGAGTTTTTCTTACAATCATAAATCAACTGCATTCATGCAAGTTTGGGGGCAGAAATGGAGCTTGCTCCCAACACACATATATCAAAATGGAATGGGGTCAAACTGCAGCATTTAACATTAAACTATATAAATGTTGCAACTGATTGATATCTTGTTTTTACACAAATGTTACATTTGGTTATTGCAACGATAGTACAGAACAAATTATTTATGCACATTTCTGCTCTTTTCAGATTGGACGAATTGTTGAAGATTCTGTTGCAGTCACAGCAATTCTTAACACCCCTGAGCTGCTCAAGGGCTTATCCAGAGTATTGGCAGTGAAAGAATATTGGTAGCAAAGGAGGTGAGACTGCTGCAAGTCACTGAATTATGTGTCCCCAAAAGTAAAACCATAATAACCCTTCTATTTGATACAGAGCCTTTTATGTCAGGAGGATGTTTCAAAGTGTTTCACAGGATTTATTGGAAAGTGGAGTGACGACATTTTTGTAGACAAACAGTGCTGTCACTGCATCAAACTCTGCAAGTCCGCCACCCAGTCCTTGGCAGGGATTACTGTCTCCCTCTCTGCCTTCAAGTTCCACCCTGAAATCTACCTTGCCCTGCTCAAGGTGCACGCCCGTCAATGAAGAGGGAGAGTGGGAGGGAGGGGGTAGAGAGTGAATGATTGTGTAAGAGAGAGGAAGGAAAGACAAGAGGGAGAGAGAGCAGAGAGAGTGTGTGTGGGGGAGAGAGAGAGTAATTGAGAGAGAATGCGAGAGGAGGGATAGAGAGAGGGATCGAGAAAGAGAGGAGAGTGATTGCTTGTGAGAGCATGAGGGGGAGAGAGAGAAACAAAAAAAGTAAGAGAGGTGCAAGAGAGAGATAGGAGAAGTGAGGGCAGCGTTTCGTGGTTATCTGTCAGAACAGACGATCGGAGTGTCCCTCGGACGGGGTGGGTGGGGGCAGGCGAACTGAAGACAAGACACTGACCAAGTTTCCTCACAGAAAGCTCCATCTTTCTACTTCTCTACTTTATTTCCACACCCCCCCGCCTGCAGTATACCTTTGGTTATTTCAGATAGATGACTAGGGGACAATGTATCTAATGCTATCATTCTGCTACTTTTTTTTTAGGCAATCCATTCTCTTTCCCGAGTTGCCCAAAGCAAAGCTGGGCTCGATGCATTGTTCATGACTTGCACACTGCAGGATTTGACAAATGTCATGGCGACCAGCGATGTGATACGATACAGAATCTATGAGGTACTGTGGATGTGGTGAATCTGAGCTTCAGAAATTAAATAGTACAATTTAATACATTACATTGTAAGGCGGAACCTTGGGCATGTTTCCTTACTCCACACAGAGCCTAATAATAATCCCTCCAAAACCAAAAAAACAATAATAAATTGGTCATTTTCAATCTACGACTGTTTGTGGGACATTGCTGTGCGCAATTGGCTGCCGCGTTCGCCCACAAATATACAATCAATTCACTTTGCAGTGTCTTCTGTGAAGCGCTTTGGGACGTCCTCCCGACGTGAAAAGCGCTATATCAAATGCAAGGATTATTATTATTATATTCCCTCCTCATTCAAAATTCAAATGAAATGGTTTTATTCAGGTCATGGCTTGCTTTGCCGTGAATGAAGCAGATTCTAAATATACAGATTCAGATGTTACTCTGAGCTGGTCTTCTCATTGCTGATTTGGTCACTGCGACATTAGGGGGCTGCCCAGGCCAGAGAGGCAGCGCAGGGGAGAGCAAAGAGGATGATCTCCAGTGTTGAGAAATGATTAGACAATCATTGCTAATCTTTTCTCGAGAGAAGATAACTCAGAGGGGACCTCGTAAAGGTCTACATTTTAAATAGGATTGAAAAGGTAAACCCAGAACAATACTTTAGAATATATGAAGCAGTAGAACAAGAGGTTTAGAGTTGGAAATAGCAATTTCTGATTAGACACCAGTTTTTCTTTACGGAGTGGGTAATGAACGCCTGGAACAGATTGCCAGGAAAGGTGGCAGAGGCCAGAGCAATAAAAGCAGGCCATTTACAAAGCAGCTGGATGTAGTCATGGGGGTACGGATGGTAGGGTAGGAGGGATGTTATCTATCTTAGAGATAAAGAAGTCCAGGATCTCTTCACACTTGGCATCAGAAGTGAGAATCGAGGATGCTTGAGAGGGGATGTGGAGAAGGTGGTGGATAACACTTCTTGTTGCTTGAAAGTCCTGTTTGAAGGAAAATAACTTAAGTTGAGTTCCTATGCTCTCTTTCTTAGCCCACATTACTATTGTTTTATTCCTATTTGTACCCTGATTCTCCGCCCTGCCCACCCCACCAATGGCAGTCAGGCCTTCAGTCTTTCTGCCCCCACCCTTTGGAACTCCATCCCACAGTTCCTTCGCCTTGCCCCATCCCTTTCCTCCTTCAAAGCCCATCTTAAAACTTCCTCTTCGATAGTGCCTTCAGTCACACTCCTTCCACCCCTCCTAATCCCAACCCCCAACTCGAATCCAAGTCCTTGACTGCCCAGCGTCTTGGGACGTCCTCCTGAAATGAAAGGTGCGATAGAAATGTAATTTGTGGTTGTTGAGATCACTACTGAGCTGATGGCAATAGCAACAGTGAACTCTGTGGTGTTTGTTTACAGCTGATGGTGGAGATCTCGTCTGTGTCACCTGTTTCTCTGGGATATTGCGTCAACAGTGGCCTTTTATCACAGCTGATCAATGAAATGATGGGGGAGGATGTGCTGATCAGGTGAGCAGATCTAGAATGATACAGCATGGAAACAACCCATTCAAACGAACAGCAAGGGGAGTGAGACTACTCAGTGTTGGTGTGTGCCAGAAGAGAGCTGGTAGGAGTATACCCGAGTATACCCAAGTCCACACAATTTTTTATTAAATCTTGTTTTTGGATCGATCCAGCTAGGTTAGAATTCCAGATACCCAGAAACTGGTAAACCAGAGGAGGTTTACCATAGTACATTTTGGATTTTTTAAAATGTGTATTCTCGTTGCAAGATCAATATTAGGGTAAGGGGGGTAAAGTCAGGCTGCCCATTGTCACCGGCCCTGCTCGATTTATTCATTAACGATGTATTGGATGCCATCAAAGGGGGCAGACTTGGTATATGTGTTCCAGGCCTTTCTGACAAGATTGGTGTTTCTGTTTGCAATGTGTCTCATATTTGACATTAGTATATAAATTGTTCCAAAACAATGACTGTCAGTAAATAGCAAATATTTGACACTCATTTCAGAGCCAACGCAATAGAGATGATCACTGCACTGCTGAAGACTCCACAAGGACGACATTACCTCGCTCAGCAAGGTGTCATCAACAAAATCTCAAATATGATCATTGGTGCAGCCTCTGACCCCTTCTCTGGCTTTTATCTACCAAGTAAGTAACAAAGTATTTTGTGCATCCTCTCCTTTCCTTGCATTCTCTTAGTATACAACAGGATCAGTCATTTAAAAATGACATTTTCCAATCTGTTGCAACTTTTATATTCTGGGCCAAATATTCTAAAGTGACACTCCAGTGCAATGCTGGGGATGTGCAGCAAAGTGGGAAGTGCCGCATTTCAGATGAGGCACTAACCAAGGTCTCACCTGTCTGTTCAGGTAGATGTTAAAGATCCCACGGCACTATTTGAAGAGAAAGGAGTTTCTCCTGATCTTCTGGTCAACAATCCTTCAAATAAAATTAAGTCAGTCACTCACTCCATTGGCTGTTTGTGGGACATTGCTGTGCCCAAATCAGCTGGGGCATTCACCCACAAAACACACAGCCCCCACGCCTTTTGAATCCTGAGAAGCACTTTGAGATGTTCTCCCAACGTGAAAGGAGTTATACCAAATGTTAATATTATTATTATGTGTGGAACCTTCTGTTTGGTTCGGACGCTGTCAATGGGTGATGGGTTTTCGCATCTGACCAAACAAAATCACATGTGTCAGCGCTGTAATTGGTAACTCCCCCTGCACAACACAATTTTGATCAGTAACTTCCTGCTTTGGGAATTGTCACCATCAGCCCAGTCCTACTCCCGCACGGCACTCTGCAGCTGGGATTCTGAGAATCAAAGCATTTGAAAGTTGGCTTGTACATTCATCGAGGCTCAGCTTCTTCCGTATCTCCTTTTCTTTGTAGATTTAGTCAAGTTCTTTGGACACTTGGCAATAATGGACGGTCCTCAGCAGATATGTGAGCGCTATCCTGCCTTTGTGGAAAAGGTCATTGAAATGGTGCAAGGGCAGGAGCTAACCATGGTTGGAGTTGGCTTGGACACCCTGGAAATTCTTGGATCCAGCATTGAAGGGAAGCAAGTGTTGAATAAAACAGGTAACGTTTATCAACATTATCCCAGAGGAGTTAATAATAATTCTTACTTTTGGTATAGCACCTTTCACATCGAAAGGATATCCCAAAGCGCTTTACAGGATATACTGTAAAGTGTAATGTTTTGTAGATTTCTTCTCTCCTTTTAGCATCAGGCAGCGTGAAATCTATCCATTAGCTATTGCTGAATCTCTCAGAATCCTTAGACAAGAAACATCAATAATTATGCTAGACTGGCTTTGGGGGAACGAGGTGAATTTTTCCCTACTTCTCTTCCAATCTCCTCTGAGGAAGATGCAAGCCTGTGTAACTATGCCCCTGCATTGTGTAGTGTAAACTAGTGGGTCTATTTTTCACCCTGTAGTGGAAAACGGAAGCTTGAGTTTTTTTGGGACTTTTGTAAGGGAGAAGTGGTAGGTTTAAAGGTATTTGAGCCAGACCTGGCAGTGTAAGGCTGTTTTGTGCCACAAGATAGTGGATTTTATCTGTTGTATTGAATTAAATCGTATTATTTTAAAACTGTATAAGCAGATGATCCAAAAACAATTCTGTGGGTTTTCCTCTTTTGCCTCATCACAGTTTAATGAGTAAAGCTTCACACAGTCTTGGATTGACTGCTCAGTGCTGAATGTTAGCTGATTAAGCATTGATTTATCATCAGTGAATATAAGTTAATTACTTTCGAGGACTAGCCACACCAAGCTTTTCTTTAGGATGCTGAGTGGGAAATGTCCATGATAGAGTGGATTTTGCATTATCTGTGGAGAACATTGCCTGTCTCCTCTCTGTTTGCCTACAAGATAGTCACTGCCCTTTATAGTAACTCCTGTGCGGCGCTTTGAGAAATCTTGATGACGTGATAAGACGCTTTATAAATGCAAGAGTTATTATTAGGATGGCCGTTCTATCGAATTACAAATTACTTTTCTTGTTCATTAGGTTCTGCATTCCAAGATCTGCTAAGAAAGCTCGGGAACCTCTTGAGCGGTGCAAATATGGATGTGCAAAGCCGCTGCCTTGATGCTGTTGCTTCTCTCCTCTACCTCTCTGTAAGAATCTTTTCTTCTAAGAGAATGAAGCCGAACCCTGGGGGTTGGGGCACATGAAATGGGATATTGTCATTTATCTACTCGCTTGGACTAATCACACCAGAATTAGCTAATATGATCCAATAAGTGCTGCAGGCCCCCCTGATGGCCTAGTGGGCTGCCTTGCCAGTGCAGAAGTAAGATATACAGACCAGAATGTTGACAAGACAGAAGCCATCCTCCTTGGCTCCTGCCAACATCTTCTCACCCTTTGCCTCTTCCTCTCCTGAAGGGGTTTTACTCCTTTTTTTTTAGCAATACCCCTGAGGTATTGTTTCACAGGGACTGGTCGCCCTCTGGTATTTTGTCTAAACGCCAATTATTATAATAATAATCCTTGCATTTGATATAGTGCTTTTCATGTCTTCTAGACGTCTCAAAGTGCTTCACAGAATAGACTGTAAAGTGAATTGACTGTATATTTGTGGGCAAAATGCAGCAGCCAATTGCACACAGCAGTGTCCCACAAACAGTCATGGGTTGAAATGACCAATTTATTATTCAAGAGTAAGTCCAGAGAGTGGGTGTTGACAGCCATTCATTCACATGGGCAATCACACATGCAGAGGAATTGAAGCAGAGAGTTCCATAGTCTTGGGCCATAGTGGCTTAAAGCATGGACGCTGATGGTGCAGGTGAGGGGAGGGGATAAGGGGCTTGCAGGACGCCGAAGCCAGCTGAGCAAAGGAGGCATGTAGAGGAATGGGGTGTGAGCAGATCGAAGAGGTAGGGAGATACCAGGGCATGAAACAATTTACACAAGTATGAGGATCTTGAAATTGATCCGTTCTGCAAAGGGCAGCCAGTGTAGCCTTGCAAGGACTGGGGTGATGGGGGTGTGGAATTTAGTATGGGTGACAGTTTTGAATTAAGTGTATTTTATGAATGGTGGAGCTGGGGAGACCAGTGAGGCAAGAGGTGATGAATGCTTGGATAAGGGTTTCAAACTGCATTCAGTGTGAGGTATGGCCAAAGGTGGGGAATATGGTGGACGTGGAAGAAAGTGGTCCTGGTCAGGGATGGATGAGGGGAAGGAAAGACAGCTGGGGATCTAACCTGACACTTGGGTTGTGCACAGGTTTAGCAAGTCTGAGGGATAGGCTGGGGAAGTTAAGGATGTCAGAATTGCAGGTGAGAAGATGTTGGCAGGAGCAAAGGAGGATGGCTTCTCTCTTGTCAACAATCGGCTGCAGAAAGTTGACCTTGATGTTTGACAAGCAAGATCTGGAGTTGAGGCTGGAGGAGGAAAAGTAAATTTGGGTGTCATCCGCCTATGTGTGGAGGTTGACTCCATGTCGACAGGGAGGCAGAGGGAGCCCTGGTCAAAGAGAGGTTATAAGCTGACCAGAACACTGTCCAACTTGAGTAATTTCTGAGAATCTCAGAACTCAACTGATTTACTTAACTCGTTTTTCTTGAATGTTGCAGGCAGACCAGCAAACTGATGATCTCCTGGGGATGATGGAGTCCTGGTTTCAGGCTTTGCACAGCCGGCCGTTGGAAATGTTCCGGACTATGAGTGCCCAGCCCTTCCCAGAGATTCACATCGGCGCACTCAAAGTCTTCACGGTGTGATTCACAATGTTACACATAAATTATATTAATTCATAGAAAGTTTACAGCACAGAAGGAGGCCATTCAACCCACCATGCATATGCTGCTGTTATGATATAATAATCCTTGCACTTGATATAGCACCTTATCATGTCGTTGACACGCCTCAAAACGTTTCACAGAATATACTGTAAAGTGGATTGACTGTATTTTGTGGGCGAAACGTGGCAGCAGCATCTCACAAACAGTCGTGGAAATTAATTGACTAAATTATTATTAGTATTTTTAATTTTCCTTTTTTAAGAGATTATTACCCCCGTAAAAGCAATCCGCCAGTCGACCAATAACCGGGCTCCTACTTAACGCTAGGTAAACAGGCGTGTGGAGTAAGGAAACTTACCCGAGGTTTCGCCCTGCCCGGGAATCAAACCCAGGTCCTCTCGCTTGCGAGGCGAGTGCTCTAACCATTAAGCTACAGGACTTTTTAAATGTTTTATAAGTGAGTTGAAAGTTATTATTTTTATTTTCCTTTTAAACTCAGGCGATTGCAGGCCAGCCATGGGGCCAGAGGTTGATGCTCGCCACCCCAGGGTTCATGGAATACATCGTGGATCGATCAGTTGAACCTGATAAAGATTCGAAAGACGCAAAATTTGAACTGGTGAAAACTCTAGTGGGCTCCAAAACCACAGCTGAGATTTTGGGAAACCAGCATTACCTGATGCTACGGGGGTACTTGCGGGAAGGCCCCTACTTCGTGAAGACTGTGACAGCAGTGGCAGTGGAAGGGAGCGAGTAATCTTACATTAAAGATCTGATCATTAAAGGCAGCATTGACAAACAATTAGGTCTTCAAAGTGAATTGCTATCCATCTAATGAGGGTTCAAACCTGCACTTGTCGAATGATCCACCAGTCACTGTTATATCAGGAACAACAACAAATTACATTTGTATAGTGCCTTTCACATCAGGAGGACATCCCAACAAGCACTTGAAGTCTGCACCAGTTCACTTGTTCTTTCGATTTCAACTAACCACAAGTGGACTTCCCCCTCTTGTCATTAAGCATCAACTTTTCACATCACCCAAGAGTGCAATTAACCCTTACAATAATTTTCCCACTTTTAATACGCTTAGTTTCTTTTATCTCTATTTACTTACTCGTTTATTTAATTATCCCTTCACACAACTGCACAATCCATAGGCTAATTACTATTCCATAGTTTGTTTTGTTTACTCATTGTGTGTGCTTCTCGCATTTTTACATTTCCCTTTTATTTGCTTCATTTTCTATCTTGTTCCCTCCTGATCTTGCTGATTTTCTTGATTTAGTTGCTGAACTCTTTCACTTTGTACCAAGGTACTCCAGCATGCAAGGGGTATTGCCTTGATCATGAAGCCAGGGACCAATTCTCCGAGAGGGCTGACAATTCACGATATCGCCAATGATTTATTGCTTATGCAGCTGAGGTTAGGAAACTGAAGCTACAGCCTGCAAGGCCCTCATCTCTGAAGTGGGACCTCATCTACCACAAAGGGAAGGAGAGCTGTTAGGAAAATGCAGACAGTCTTTAAAGCGGTTCTGGAAGCTTCCTCGGAGCAAGTAGAACTGCAGCAGAGTCAGCATACAATCAAGCCTGTCAAATCAAAGCTAGGAAATTTAAAAGAACAATGAAACAGGATCAATGGGTTGCGTCACTCCAAAAAGGAGCACAACTGCACAAGAACAATCCCAAATCTTTTCCGCTGGTTGAAGTCTTGGCCGTTCCAGTATTGGACTAGACCGGTGTTCTACAACAGACCTTTGAGGGTATCCTTTGGGTCTGGAGGGAGCAATACTGCTGGAGTATACAGTATACTGAATGCACTGTAAAATGAATTGACCTTTTTGTGGGCGAAATGCGGCAGCCAATCGCGCACAGCAGTGTCCCACAAACAATCGTGGATTGGGTGACCGATTTATTATTATTTCTATTTTTTTAAAGGAATTACTACCCTGGAAAGACGATCCGTCAATTGACTAACTGCCGGGTTCCTACTTACTGCTAGGTAAACAGGCCAGTGGAATAAGGAAACTTGGCCAACGTTGCGAGATCTAAAAACTGGTGGAAGTGGCTGCATGGCAGTCATGCACCACACTTACAAGCTCAGAGGCTTTCGCACTTGGCATTCCCAGTTTATTTGGGGGTGATTGAAGTCTCCCATCAGTACTACCTTCTTTTTCTCACATCCACTCCTAATAGGATCACTGTAACAAGTCGTTCTCCCTGCTTTGGACTGACAGTCTGTAGCAAACCCCAAATATTAGTCTAGCCTTTTTCTGGTTGAGCACATTTAACAGAGGATTTCCTATAATGATTGATCTGCGATGTCACATCTACGGTAACCTCCCAGATGTCCCTTCCTGTCTGCTTCTCTGATTTTGTTATCTGCTGCTTTCTGGAATCTTTGCAATCTTGATTTAGGTATCGTTCCTATTTTTGGTCTATGATTTGGTCTCAGCCTTTCTCGACTCTTCCTGATCAGCCGGGCCCGAGTTCTCTGTTACCTACTGTGGGCGTCTCTCCCAAATCTAGTTTAAAATGAAATGCAATTGCTGCGTTTATGTTTTGTGGCAGCAAACCTAAGTTTGGATACTCTAACTGTAGTAATGGGTTTCTACATGTGTCAGACATCTGTCCGACAAAAAGAAAAAAAAGTTTTGGGACTTAATCTTACAATCTAGGCTGAGGCTCAGCCCTGCCAGTGCCTTCAGAGCCACCGTGTTGAGAATCTATGAATCTATGAGTCACGTTGTCACTCAGGTTGTTACCATTCAGACTCAGATCTGTTGAACATCTTGCAGAAGTGGAAGACCAGGCGGCAGTTAGAGCCCACGCACCCTCGTCCCCAATCCTATTGCAGTCCAGATCCACTCTGCGCAGACTTGTATTGACGCGCAGCACCTCTGCCAACTGTTTCGCCGCCTCATCGTCCAAGCCATCCTCGTCCAACAACAGGTGGGAAATGTAGCTGTTGTGCTTCAGACTATTGAACAGCTCACCCCACGCCTTTGAATCCACATTGCTGTTCTGGGACAGTCCTAAATACTCAAGGGGAGGATTCAATTCAAGGAACTTGACCACAGTCCTCAGACCTCGGTGGCTCAGTTGATTTGCACCAATATCCAAATCCTTGAGTTGCAGCCTTCTCTGTGGCTGTATCCGCTGAACACAGTCGCTGGATTCTGAAGGCTTGTCCATTGTAAGCAAGTCAATGAGTCCTTTCATTAATATGACAATGCCGTCGTCTCCTAAACTGTTCCCATATAATCTGAAAAATGATTTTGTTAGAAGAATGGTATAATTAGTAAATGATGTTGGGATTACATTTCAGTAAAACACTTCCTCTTATCTTTCCCGTCCATGGCTGATATTCTATCCTCTCCTAAAGGCCCTCATTCCACAGGTTAGCGGTGTCTCCTCGGAGCTGAACTGGCTCCACGGTGACATACCTGGCCACGCAATGTCGGAATTGAACCACCCCGCTCTGGCGATCTAGTCCAGTTTCTGAGCCAGGCGGGTCCGCAATATTCCAGGGCAGTGCTGATGAAAGTCCAGCCAGCCTGGATCATCAGTAGTACCTGGAAGGGCAGGGCAAACCTGTCACTGGGGGCAGGGAGTCATCTAACTCAGCTCCTGTTAACCCTGCAAGCCAAAGCTCCAATGATGGGTAGAATGGTCCTAGCTGGACAAGAAGCAGGAAAGCTTGTCAGGCAGCAATATCAGTGGCAAGCTACACGGTTTTAGCTGGTTAGATTCCAACAGTTACCCCAATGCACACTCTGGGGTCCCCAAGCCTTGGCTCTTGCCAACTTGCACCTAATTTTTGAAATTAGGTAAACAGGATTCATCTCTCCAGGGAGAGAGTATGCATTCCACTCCCAACAATCTACCTCTGGGATTTCCATGTGTAGTTGGGATGTAAAGGGAGTCCTGTAGCTCAGTGGTTAGAGCGCTCACCTTGCAAGTGAGAGACCTGGATTCAGTTCCCGATAGGGAGAAACCTTGGGCAAGTTTCCTTGCTCCACAAGCCTGATGATAATCCCTCAAAAAAGATTACAAAATTGGGTCACTTCAATCCAGGGTATCTGACATATCTCCCACAAATATACGGTCAATTCACTTTACAGTATATTCTGTGAAGCGCTTTGAGACGGTTGAGAAGACGTGATAAGGCGCTATATCAAATGCAAGGATTATTATTCAAATTATTATGCATAGAATTCTCGGTTTGGAGAATCTTAAGCATGGTGACGGGGTTCCACGTGTGTCAGACACCCGGCTGGCTAAAACAAAATGGCACACGTGACCTGCTTGTAACATCTTTGTAGCATTGTGTCAGTCTAGACAGTATCAGCATCGCTGATTAACTAATAAAATAATCCTGGGAAGTGGATGGGGCTGTGCCACTACCTACAGCAGAGAGGTGACTGATGGCTGGGCAGTGAGGAGCTGGACCAGGGTTTGGGCGCTGGCAGGCCCCAGGCTGTTCAGGTTCAGGTTAATGGTCTCCACCCTCGACCGGCGGTTGTTCACCAGGGCAGTGACTAGCACCTCCAGCAGCCCATCGGTCAGCCCGGTGTTCCTGACCACCAGCTGATCTACTGATTCGCATGTTCGCAGCACCGTTACAGTGTCCATGACCTGCGAGGGGGGAGAGATAGCAAAGTGACAGTGACTGAACAACCCCCAAACCCCAACTTTCTTTCCTCTGCCATTACCACATGCCAACCAGCCTCCTAGCTATGACCAGTTACTGCAGTAAGCAGGATAAGGGGGACTACTAGGAGATGGGTAGCCTCTGTGTTGTTCTGGAATGACATTCTCACCCATCTGTGACCAGGGGTTTCTCTGCCTCCTTTTCCTTCTTGACCTCTCTGCCTCTTTCAACGCTGTCAACCATTTTGTCCTTCTTCACCGCCTTTCCCCTTAGCTCTACCTTCACGGTTCTGTCCTTGCCCGGTTTCATTCTTACTTACCCCAACATCTCCACTTAGTATCTGCCAATGGCTTCTTCCCCAGCTGTTTGGGAGGTGGGGGAAGGGAAGGGTGGTGCTAGGGGAGGGGTAGGTGATGAGTGAGTGCACAGAACTCCCTCTGTACTGTATGATCAAGCATAGCCTCTAATGCATCAGTATGACATTTGCCACTCCAGCCCCTCTATATTTTGTGCAGGCCCAACACTGGCTGTGGGCTGGTGGAGACTTGCCTCAAACCTATTGCACCCAACAAATGGCAGAGGCTGATAATAACACAATAATAATTGTTTCATTTGAGATAGAACTTTATCACATTATCAAAGTCTCAAAACACTTCAAAGAATTATACTATAAAGTGTAGTGACTGTGTTTATAGGCGAATGGACTCTTGCTTTCCGCAGAGAGTGCGCATTCCATTCCAAACATTATCTGGAATTTCCATGTGTAGGTGGGATGCATGGAACTGGGTTTGTTTTGGATATTCTTCAGCATGGTGATGGGTTTCAGCACGTGTCAAGACACCTGGCTGACCAAAATAAATTACATATTTTTCCAGAGCATCTGTTGTTCGCTGGTTCACAGGTGACTGGTGCTCCCCCTCCTCCGTGCCCTGTGACACGCATTTTCCTTGCGGCAGATTAGCCTCTGTATTTCCATCCACGTCTTCACTTATTGCTGGCTGAGTTTGTGTACTGAGCTCCGTGGTGCATTGTGGAGATAGGAGAGGCTCCTCAGGTACAGTAGTTAAGTGAGGACGGTCCATCGAAACTACTTTACCATCGCAGTGCTTGACTTGGGTTGTGCTGAAGGGATTTCGATATGT